GAGTAGATCTAAAAGCTTTATAACTACCGTAACTTCAAGCCAAACCTCCTTATTCATCGCATCCTTACAGATGTCGCTGCATTCTAGTTTGGTATTTAAACCGCGGTCTGCAGTGAGTGGCTCCTTTAAACAACAATCGGTCACACTATCAATTCAAGAGAGCGATACGCCTAAAATTACAACTTTGGGAAAGGGGCCAGAAGAACGCCGTGTTCCAGCCATACTCGCCATGTGGCATGTTTTAAACGTGATAATTTCCAGCAACAGTGTTCTGGGTATGCCCTTCGCCATCGTATTAGGGGGCGTTGCCGCCTTACCACTCATCCTACTGGTCGGATTTCTCGATGGCGTGACATCAGTTCTTTTGATAGATTGTCTTTACGAAATCACGCCGAAAGGTCAACATCGCCAACGAGCAAGAGAGAGCTATGGCGATATTGGAGCGGCAGTTTGGGGGCCAACGGGAGGCCACGTTGTGGACCTAATACGAATATCTCTCTCTTATTGCAAATGCGTATTGAGGATTATGGTCTTAGGAAACACTCTGAAGGCGTTGCTGAGTAGCCAAGTGAATCTGTCCCTTCAGGAATGGTGTTTACTGTGTACATCGGCGTTGCTGCTGGTTGTCTTCATCAAAAGCCTATCCGCCCTTGCCTGGCTTAGTATGATGGCAGTGCTAGCAGCTTTTATCATTTTCTTCCTTTTATTAGGCTTCTCGTTAAGTAGGTACAAGGCATGGGAGTGGCAAAATATTCTCTTTTTTGATGTGAATAGATTCCCAATTAGCATGGGTATCGTAATGTATTCATATTGTGGGCATACTGTTTTTCCCGCTGTAGAGGAATCTATGAGGAACCCCAAAAAATACAACACCATTTCCCATTGGGCGTTTTCCATATCAACAGCCATGAAATTTTTGGTGGGCCTTTTTTGTGTTCTCACATTTGGTAGCGAAACCCAGTCAATTGTCCTTTTAAATCTCAGTGAATCAAATGCTTCCATATTAAGTAAAATAGCATCTATTCTAGTAATAATAAACATGTACTTTTCCTACCCTGTAAACATGTTTGTTGTTGGGGGGACTGTGGATATCCTACTCTTACCAAAGTTCCCCAAGTGCTTAAAACAGTACAGTCTCCTGTGGTTTATGTTCACTAGGGTCATCCTGGTATATTCCACCCTGGGTATCGCATTAGCACTGCCTCGTTTTGGGCTCCTCATGAGTGTGATTGGCAGTTTGCTGGGTGTATGCATAACTTTTATTTTCCCCTGCGTGTTCCATTTGAAACTTAAGTGGAAAAATCTAAGCTGGTATCACATTGCTTCTGAAGTTTTCATTATATTATTTGGGGTAGTATTTGGTGTCTTGGGTGTTGCTTTCTCTTGCATTGCTCTCAACAATACACTGTAGGGCTAAATGGCAATTTTTTTTTATAAAGGTACATAACTCAGGTGTCTACAAAACCTGGATACCCGGTGGGGTTGGGGGAGGGTACTGCCACACATGGGCTATATATATAGTTTACTCTGGGATGGGGTATATAAATCAGAGAGTTTGGGTCTAGCATAGGATATCATTTTTCCAGGAAACTGATCAATTATTGGTTGAAGATTTTAGTCTAGACTGGGGAAACCAGGAATTGCCACTCAAAAATCAAATGGGTTTTGTTTTGGCTGGACTGTTCTAGTGACCTCAGTAGTTTATGGAAAACAGGTACCCTGGGATATGGGGTATTTGGGGAGTTTAGTCTAGTATAGAGTAGCAAAATTTACTTGAACTGGGTTTGGTCTAGGCTAAAAAAATTCCTAAAGTACCCTCCCGCCAGACCTGGATAGACCTGGCTTGGATCAACCCACTGTATTCCACTAGCCTGGTCCAGGCTTTCAGATAATGGAGTATGGCAAGAAATTGGAGAGAACGGGAAAAAAATAAGGAGAGAGGGGTGGGGGGGGGAGAGGAGTGGAGGTTTCCTTCTTTGTCACCCCCTACCCCACCCCTGTTTTTTTTTCTGCTCTCTTCTCCTTGCACTGTCCCCTCTATCTGAATGTCTGGAAAAGGTTAGTATTCAGCCAAATAACAAAAGGTTGGGTATCCTGTTTCAGGAGTTGATCTGATTCATTCAGATCAAGGTTTTGTCAATGTCCAGAAAAACCTATGGTAACATAACCTGTCATTTCCCTATGACGTATGACAGAATAATTTACTTGCATTATGGCAAACACAGTCTTGGTCTAGTATCAAAAACAGCACGAATCTCAGTGCACTTTTCTGGACAAGAACCATATAGTATATAATAATTATTATGACTTTGAACACTTTCCTGAATAATAATTACACACTTGTACATTGTAGGGGCAGAATATGTCAAAATGCAAATATAAATTCTTACAGGGTAGCAAGTGGACACTAAGTAGACAAAAGTACAGCTTCCTTAAATTGAAAAGTAGCTTTTGATCTGAACATGCAAAGCAGATGACAATTTGTTGATTCAAGGCTCAATCCTGTTAGGGGATCTTTTTAAGCGTGTGAGTTTTTGCTGTAAACATAACATTTTTTTTTCAATACATAAAGGGAATTAGACCCAAATTATTACTGTTGACATTGATTATTTTCATATCAAATTAAATGTGAATATAAATTTTATTGTATTATATTTTTGTATTATAATATGATATGATACTATTGTATTATGATATTATTGTATTGTGGTATTGTTTTATGATAGCTTGGTCACATAAGATACAAAATGTCTGTTTCTTGTCAAAGAGGGAGCGGGTAGTTATGGGGGGAGGGGGGCTATTATTAATACTAGGTGCACTTCATTGTTCAGATGGTGTTCTCCATTGCTGATAGTATATAATGATTATTATAACTTTGAACACTTTCCTGAATAATAATTACACACTTGTACATTTGTTAGAAATATTACGTGTGTGACAATTTTATCATATTGATCATTTAGCTATTTTGGAGATAATCAAGTACCAAAGACATCAATCAAAATGATTTGTAACTTTAGATTTTTCTACGGTATATGTATTAAATAAAAATTCTTCGCTTCACTTGAGACTACAGCAGCTTTCAGGACGGTTATGAGGGTGACTTTTTTACTGTGATTTTTAATTAAACAATCTGAAGTGAGTGAAGTAGTGTTGCGGTCGGTACTACATTTCCAACACACTGTAGGGGCAGAATATGTCAAAAATTGTGCAACTATAAATTCTTACAGGGTAGCAAGTGGACTCTAAGTAGACATAAGTACAGCGTCCTTAAAATGAAACGTAGCTTTTGATCCGAACATGCAAAGCAGATGACAATTTGTTGTTTCAAGGCCCAATCCTACTAGGCTCTTTTTCAGAGTGCGAATTTTTGCTGTAAACATAACATTTTTTTCACGTCACGACCTTGGCATGCTAATAAAGTGCTAGTTTGCGTGAATGTTGTTCTCAGTCGTAGTGCTTTTCGAATCGTGTCATATATTATAACCTGCCTTGTTAAAATTTGCGTGGGTCGATAAAAGCGACCCCGGTGTGGCGCAGATGAAGAATTTCGACTCTCTCGACACGAGGTATGGATCAATGCACTGAGGGCAAGCAAAGGTCGCGCGCTGCAACCACGAGTGAGCCGAGAGAGAATGCCATAACCTTTCGTTTTAAAATAGTTCAAAATAAATGCCTCCGTAGATCGCGTGCAACGACAACGAAAACGACGTTAACTTTCAAAAACTATTTGTGAAAAGTATCATGAGGGCAACGATGGAAGGTAACACAGGTATAACAAGTAATTTCAACTTTTTCTTTACCCCAACCAGAGGCATACCTACTTAAAGTTTTGATAACTTTAAGCTTATAGAAAATTACTTACGTCTCGTTCTGTATTTTCCTCTTCCTAAGTACCGTTGTTTTGCAGGCTCTCTAAAACAAATTTCCTGTGAGGATGAAATATACGAAGTTTTCCAATAGACTCTGGTTCGGAATGTTCAGTTTTTTAGTCTCAAGAAAGTGTTTTGATGAATGTTGTGATGTATGACCGCAAAACAACCCGCAAAGAACAAGGCGCTACAAGCACCAAAAAATGGCGGGAAACTTGGCGCAAATCACACTTACTTTTGCGGCTTCTGATTGTCCTCAGCCAACTCCAATATAATCCGCGAAACGAGTAAGACCAGTATTTGAAAAAAATATATGTTTCTTATCTATGTGACAATCGTGAGACAAACGATTAACGAAACTCTTTAAACACATTTTTTTATCCACCATGAACAATATCTTTCAGTCAAGGGGGGACTGGGTTTAGTTATTTCGTCTTAGCATACTAGACTCCAGTCTCCCTCGCAGTTGTTTTTTGAATGTCACGCAAGAGCGTTGCGTGACATCCAAAAAAACGGCTGCGAGGGAGGACTAACTAGACTCTAAAACATTTCAAGTCCTCATAAAACGTGCACATTTTGCACTGTTTTCTGCGTTTCCGGTCTGTGCAGTCTTATCCGGATATCCTAAACAATATATAGAAAGGTCGTTGTCAGAGGCCGGGTAGCCTGAGATCATGCCCTCTCCCTATTATCCCTTTATGTCAAGCCAAAGAAGCAAAGAAGCAAAAAACAAAAAAAAAACGCCTGATCTCAGGTTAGAGGCCGGGTAGACATTAGTATAACAAGTGTGGACGTTTATGTTATATTTATTGAGGTTGTAAATAATATGGCGCCCAAATGTAAGATAAATAGCGCCGAAAACACTGACCTTTGTATTGGCCAGATTTTTTAGCCCTACCACTTTAAAATGGTCTCCGAGGTCTCTGCGTTGGCTGAAAATGTCAAGAAAATGTCGATAAAATATGTATAAAAGACTCTTAAATACATTTTTAAAAAATATTTTCCAGTACATTTTCATCGATAGGGTGGAAAAAGGTAAAAACCTAACTTTAACCAACTCCTCGGGGAATTAAATATGTTCATACTAGGTTTTTAGATTCAACTCCCCAAGGAGTAAAGAGCCTCGGGTTATGGGCTCCTGGCCTCGTTCAAGTTGATTTCGACCATATTGGATTCCTCGTCACTGGATACAGCCTCAGTTGCATAGCCTTGAGAATGGCGTCTCTGTTTCTTCATTTTTTCCTTCAGATAATCTTCCTCCTCTATGACGTCATCATCCTCTGAGTTAACAATGGCATTTTCTGGAAAACCTTGTGAGTTCCGTCTCTGTCTCTTCAAACCTTCAATCAGCGCTTGAGCGGCTGTGTCTTGTGATTGAGTTTCCGCCGCAGTTCCCTCTTCCATTTGACTTACCGGATCTTGAGCGCCTGAAAGTTTTTTCCTGGCAGAGCTGATAAAAATGCAGAGCAAAAAGAAAAGTTTTATCCAAATGTTAGACTGAGAAAACAGTCCACATTTCGCGAAGCCAACACTGGTCTCCCTGCGAAAAGAAACGACCGCAGAAATTCTATACTGATGACGCGTCACTATCAAGGTCTGGGTAGCGCTTCTGATTGACTGGAGCCCACGCGGCACGACCAATCAGAGGCATGGTCATCAGTATGGAATTTCGGCGCAAGTTTCACAGACGTCATTTCGCGGGGAAACCAGTGCAGACTGTCGCGAAATGTCGGCTGTTTTCTTAGGCTGTCGAAATGTGTCCAAAATACGTTTGAAGAAATTAGTCATTCAGAGTATGCTTCAAATTTCCTTCAACCCATCACAAGTCACAAACTGAGTTAAGCTGCTTTACAGTAAAAAAAAAAACTCGCCTACAGCTCGTAGTTCCACCAGAGATTTGAACATTTTGACGTCATTTCTACGGTTAATAAAAGTGTAGACCATCGAATATTTTTGTCGATTTGTAAACAGAATATTAGGGAATTTGACAAAAGATTGAGGCATTGGTCATAACTTGATAAATAATTAATGAGTGTTGCATATTCACTTACACAAAATTCACTGCCACCCAGCAAAGAAAAACCACTACCATCCAGCCAACCACCGCCATCATTCCAAGAAAGGTTGTAAACAACACCTCTGCCACGGTTCTGGGTGTCCTGAAGTTAGGAGGTTGATGGTCGATGAAACCGTGAATAGAAACGTTTGTAACACTGCTGGCATGATCTTTTTTACCACTAGCTGTTGTGAAATAACTCGAAGTAAGCTTTTGCAGTTAGAATTATTAGCTATAGTACGTTACGTACTCGCCAAATTAGTTCAAAAGCTTCCATGGGACTGGGGCTTGTAAAAATCAGGGGATAGACTAGAGGCAACTCTTTTTGACTGCTGAAAATTAGTACCGCAAGAAAATCCAACCAGTCAAAGAGTTAAAAAATGAGTTTATATATACCTGCCAACTTTTTCTGAGATATAAAAATGAGTGCTGGGATTTTTTATTTATTCCCGAAGACGTCCGAAGTCTGCCAAAGGCGAGCTCGCTCCCAGTGCTTTTCACTTCAAAAATCAGAGATCGCGAGGAAGGTATTGCCATTTATTTATTTTACACATGGTTTTCGTTCCTTACATGGGTCTGAATTAACATATTTTTGGAAATTGTGTAAAGCAGGACGGCAACAACTCACATTTTTCAATCAGGCGTGAGAAATTGGCCCGCAGGCTTGAGCCGGCGTGAGATCGAAGTTTTCAAGCCGCAGGCGTGAGACTCACGCCTAAGGCGTGAGAGTTGGCAGGTATAGTTTATATGCCGTACACATTCATGAAATCTTCTTCTTCTTCATTTGTCTTACGGATATTTCAGCAGTATACCCCATTTTTCGTATTGTTCCTTTGTTCTCTTATTTCCTCTCCCATAGTGGTCGCGAAATACAGTAAAGGCTTTGGTGGCTAAATTAGCCTGCGTAGCAAGCCTTTCCGTACAGTTTGGAAGCAAAGAAACGAGGAACGAGAGTCAAAGCCCGCGCAAAAATGGCACAAGTGAAAGAGCAGAGAGAGGAGGGGAAGAAAAGAAGGGTTTCCTTCCTTCCTCTTCCCCTCCCCCTCTTTCATTTTTTGGCTGTCGTTCCATTTTTTGCGCGGTCAAAACCCAAAATCCCTGTCCTTGTTGTTCCTTTTCGAGGTTACTTACCTGCCATTCCGTAAGGGGATCTTTTCAAATTTAGACATTTTATCTTATGCCCATGGAAAGACTTCAGCTTCATAATCTCTATCACTACGTGTTTCAGGGTGTAAGTAGTTGCATGGTCACAGTCCAGGGGATTGTGGTTAATGAACCTACCACATAAAAGGGGAAGACGATTTAGCGTGTACACAGGCGTTGTTTTGTTGTCGGCGAGTGCGCGAGAGCGAGCCTGCGAGATCGAACGAGCGAGTGCGAGCGCGCAGAACATTTGCGGGGCGCGAGCAAAATAGGGGCTCTGTGAAAAAGACGGTTAGATTTACATTTTATTGCATTCTGGGGGCAATGCTATGACAGCAACTTAAAAAGTTGAATTTAAATGATCAAAACAAAGACTCTTCACGTACATCACACTTTTTTTACCGTCCTCTATCTCTAGACAAGTAAGAAGTAAAATTTCAAACCTTTTACGGAGGACATGAATATACGATTATGAATTATAATTATGAACTTCGATTCTGCTCGAAATATCCAACTCCAAGTAAAAATTCGTTTAAGTTTTTTACTAGCCTGCGAAAACATCCGTTTCTCCTCGCTCTTCGCCGCTGGGGACGTTTCGCGCGAAACGTCCTTAGCGGCGAAGAGCGTGGAGAAACGGATGTTTTCGCAGGCTAGTTTTTTACAGTTTGAGAAAAAATATAAGCGGGCGAATTCACTTTTTGTTACGGTTGTTTTAGCCGTGGACTGATGATGGTTTGTTGCTTAACAGTTCCTAAGGAGTAAACTGAGCTCAAGGTTCATTTTAGGTACTTACAAAAATTCCAGATGTGTGTATGTCTTGACCTCCTTTTCATTTATGGTCCTGATGTTTCCATAAGTCAAATCCCTGATAAAAGCGGAAAGCTGCTGGTTAAAAAATTACCCTTTGAAACATAATGTTCGTTTAGCGCAACAGTTTTGAGCTTTAAGCAATAAAAGAGAATGGTAAACTTAGTGAAGTTATGCGGCATTTGAGTTTGCTTGTTTTCTCATTTTGCTTTGGTAAGCTACAATCTCATTCCAGCTATTTTTATGGTTCTCTCCATGGATTGGGTCTGTAAAAAGGAATCCAGAACTTTTTTGCAACAATGGAGGTCAAAAGTGTTGGGACCTTTCCATTGATATTACTAAAACTAGCGACCCCCCCCTCCCACCCCAAACAAAGTTGAATTTGGAGCAAAATGGGGGAAACTGAGTGCTTTTTTTTGCCAAAACATTGCTAGGGGAAGGGGGGGAAGGACGACGGGATGAACCCAAAGCCGAACAAAACAATTGTCCTTAGGAGCAGAATCCTACGGAACTATTGCTTGGAAGGGCTTCTTCAAACAGTCCCAAGTTCTTTTGTCCTCCATTGAAGATTTTCAGCGACCATAGTTTTTCACTTTTATTGTGACTCAGCAAAAGGCGCTAAAAAGTGGACCACGCTGTTGAAAAAACTTACAGTGTTTTGACCTTTTGGGCGAAGCTCAACACTGGAAACTTTTCCATTTTCCGGCATTTGACCACAGAGAAGTCGGCACTGCAGTCACACTCCAGAGGGCATTCATCTTTCGCTTGTGTGAGAGACGTTAAAACAACCAAAATAAGCAAAACGCTTAGCTTCCTCGATATCATCTCAAAATAGCACAAAATCGCGCATCTAGAATGAGCACTGTTGTGTATTGATCAGACAAGAGTTGATTAATTGGCTCTGTGATGTCATGATGACATGAGCAATCAATTAAGTACACAGGCAGTCAATTATGATGTGGAATTGCGGAAGTTCTCCCGATAGGATTTGTTGTCCTGTTCAACGCCCTAATCACATTACGATCATATTGATACAATGATTTCAAATCAAATTGGCCAGTCATCAGTTACCCTTCCCCACTCATCCCCGCCGTTTTCTCGTTTGGCCTCGGTTCAGGTTTCGCGCCGTTGTATTCATTACTTTACGAAGGAACACGAAACCCGGCACCCAGGAAGTTTTTTTGTTGGTCCTTCTCGACGCTCGGGGCATGGCCGGAAGGATGCACCATACCTTTACAAGAGAGACCTTTATTATCTTCTGACGTGCGTCATGTACTCTATGTTTTTCGCGCTGTGGCTACATATGCTCGATCATGATCACTCAGGCTCAGTGTCAATTTGTATACAGCTATTTCGAGAAAGGTTATCGGAAAAAGTGCACGCGACAATCCCGAAAGGTATTGTGGGTGGTTTGTTTTGAGTTCACTAGTTCTTCAATGATCTTTGAAAAATGGACGAGAGAGGCCATGGACGTATGTTTGCTAGTGCTAAAGAAAAGTAACAAAAGTAGTTTCGACAGCTAGCTACAGTGTCAGGAACAGTGAAATGATCGTATCTCATATTACCTTTCGGGATTGTCGGGAGCACATTTTTTCCGACAGCCTTTCTAGAAATAGCTGTATACTTTAATTGGTCAAGTAACCATGAAATTACCCATCCCCTACTTCCGAAATAGAGGGTGGGGACTCTCATATGAAAATGAAGAGTATGCTCTTCGGAAAAATTGAATTACACCTCTAAGGGTTCTCTAAAGTCAGTAGACCACACTCCAACACAGTATGACGGCATTTGTTCTTTTCTAGGTCATTTATTTACGCACAACCCTAAGATACTTTCATGGGTAAAAATACTGGCTATCTGTACTGTACTGAACATTCGAAGTGAGACCAAAATCTGCAATTTCTACCCCGAAGCTAGTCTGAAATGTCAAGAACAAGAAGTCCAAAGACTACTGCAAAGCTGATTTAAAACAACGTATATTGTTTGCCCCCCCTCCCCCAAAATAACATGTTTTCACGTCCTTTGGGGTTCGTTAACATTCATTCCGTTCTCGCGCCCTGCCAAAAGAAAAAAAATTTTTTCGCCTTCCCATCGCCAAATCCCCAATAGATATACGTTTAATCAAACAGGCTATAAATTGCAAATGGCGAAAGATAGCCTGGAACAACATGGAGATAGTTTGTCAGGAGCCATAATCGGCTCCTGACATTCCGTTCTCTCGCTTTTTCGCCTTCCCAAAATATAATATCAATGGCTATAAATTTAGAGCTACAAAAACATGTCATGAGCCGATTTGGAAATATAATATCAATGGTCAACTACAACCTGGAGTTCAACGAGGATCACTCACTTTCGAAGAATGCTCTTGTGTTCGGTGGGCCCAGCGCACGCAACGTTGTTTGCGATTCACCGTCAGTTCCTTTAAGGCTAGTTTCATGTTCATAATTTCTTTTGAAAAGTTGTTTATTTACAACAACTGGCCCTACCTCCCAATTCACAAGGGAAAAGCCTGGTAACAAGATTGACCAGTTGGGCAATCAAACAACTAAACACTTCACCGCTGTCCAACAGGTTCTTCTCTCTTAAAGTTAGTTTGAAGTTCAAGTTCCGCAGGTTTGAGTCTTCTTCCACCTTTTTACCCAAAAATTCAAAAACAGGAAGACTAAACTTTACTGACGAGAGCGGAAATAATTTGCAGAAGTGTTGGTCACATTTTGACGCACGCTTGGTCACTAAACTGAAATCGGTGAAAGTTGAATTTTGAATAAAATGACAATCCTAAGAAACTAAAAGGTTTTATTTTTTTCTTACAGTATAATATCTCTTGATACGTTTTCTGGGGCAAGTGATCCATATTTTCGTGATTTTTTCCCGCGAAGTTCCGCGGTCGTCTTAGGCAAGAGGCTTGGGTAAGAAAGTGGTTTCGCAATAATTTCCGGTTGATAGCACGGAGCAAGTGTATTTTGGTTATGCTACCTGTTTTAATTAAAAAATTAAGAAAGATTCTGTTTTCTCCTTTACACATTCCTTGTCATATTACAATCAATTTGCCATCAGTGTTTAAAAAGTTTTGTTGTTTTTGCGTGCGTGACTTCAGGAGTTTCCCCTCAACACGCACGTGTTTTTACCGTTGCGTGACAAGCCACAAGAACGCTACAATTCCAAACTTATGAACAACTACGTGAAAGTTCCCGAACAATTGAAACATTTCAACCTTGCGATTTTTATTGTTAACTTCTGCCTTCGTGGCCCGTGAATAAGGCAATAGTTAATACTTTTTGGGCAAAATTATTCATTTTTTGGCAAAGACATCGTGCGATCAAGCAGGCGCGAAACTTGAATTACGCGACTTCTAAACTAGGAAAACCAGTCTGACGTGGTTAACGTGTGGACAACCGGCGCAATGTACTTTTCACTTAGTCGAAACTTCACAGGCAAAGGACAGTCTTTGCCGCCCTTTACTTTTGTTAGATTGCTTCTGGATTGTCTAGAAGAGAAGACATAATCGAAATCTGGACCCAAGAATTTGCCATGGACAAAGATAGCACAGAAATGAATCTGCTTTCGACGGCGTCCTCTCCCGCGAGTGTTAGCTGCAGTACAGTACTCAAAGAACCTGAACTAGTGACAATCGTCGAAGACATGCCGTTGACGACAGAACAAATCGAGGAAGAGCAGCTCCTGGAAGCGGTCGAGGATGAATATGACACTGAACCGCCAAACGAAGGAACTCCTTTGCTTCGCTCGTCCGAGATGGGCTTCGAGAAAAGTGGTTCAAGCTTCTACACGCACAACAGTAAAAGCTTCACGACGACTTTCACGACAAGTCAAGCCTCTTTGTTCATTCCCTCCTTCCAGTTTTCGCTGTATTCTAGCATGGTGTCCATTACGCGGTCTTTGAATGGTTCTCTTAATCAGCGATCGGTAGCATTGTCAATACACGATCGCGAGAGCTCGAAGTCGAAGAGCGGTACTGTGTCTTTATTGGAGAGAATGACGGAAGATGGCCAAGCACCGACTTTACTTGCCCTTTGGAACCTCATAAATATGACTATTGCTAGTAGTAGTGTGATAGCGTTTCCTTACGCGATCGCTTTGGGAGGATTTGCTGCTCTGTTCCTCATCCTTGTCATTGGATTCTTTGCTGGCGTGACCTCAGTTCTGTTGATTGACTGTCTTTACGAAATCTCCCCGAAAAGCCGACTTCGCAAACGAGTAAGAGCGAGCTATGCGGAAATTGGAGCGGACGCGTGGGGACCAATCGGAGGCAGGCTTGTGGATTTCATAACAGTGAGTCTTTCTTACTCCAGTTGTGTCCTGTTTGTGATGGTCCTCGGCAAAAGCATGAAAGACTTGCTGAGCAGCCAAGTGGAGCTATCCCTTCAAGAATGGTGTCTGATGTGTACAGTGGCCCTGCTTCTGACTGTCTTTATCAAGACACTGTCTGTCCTAGCCTGGTTAAGTATGCTGGCAGTTATAGCAGTTTTTATTATAGTCTTTGTCCTGTTAGGTTTTTCACTGGGTGATTACAACACTTGGGAATGGGCGAATATTCCATCTTTTGATTTAAATACATTTCCAATCAGCTTAGGTATTATTCTGTTTTCCTACTGTGGCCATACAGTGTTTCCTGGAATAGAGGTGTCCATGCAAGAACCAAAAAAGTACAAAAAGGTTTCCCATTGGGGCTTTTCATTGGTCACGGCCTTGAAATTTTTGGTAGGACTGTTTTGCTGTCTCACGTTTGGAAGCAAAACCCAGTCAATTGTTCTTCTAAATCTAAGCGTGGCACATGCTTCCATACTGAGTAAAGTAGCGTCACTGTTAGTTGTGATAAATGTTTACTTTTCTTATCCCTTAAACATGTTCGTTGTTAGTGGTACTCTCGATATCCTACTGTTACCAAAGTTCCCTCTTTGCTACAATAAAAAGCGATATAACTACCTCTGGGTTCTGTCGACAAGGGTTATTCTAGTCTTTTCCACCCTGGGTATCGCACTGGCTGTGCCACATTTTGGACTTCTTATGAGTGTATTTGGCAGTGTGTTTGGAGTGTGCATAACTTTGATATTTCCTTGTCTCTTCCATTTGCAACTGAAATGGAACAAGTTACGGTGGTATCAGATTGCTTTTGAGTTGTTTATAATATTATTTGGGTTAGGGGCTGGTGTGTTGGGTCTGATTTATTCCTCTATTGCTCTCAAAAATGCCAGCTAAGTACAGCTGTACATAGGTAGCCGGCATAGCAGGTGCCAGTTTTGTTTGGGCAAAGGAAGAAACTTTTAGGACATGCGGGCATGCATGAGGGGATTCCTCTCCCCTTTGCATGTTTGCCACCCATGCTATTTAAAATCTAGCCAAAAAATTTAACCGGCGCCTGCCATGCAGGCTGGTACATAGGGTATTCATCATTTTTTAGTAAATGCGTCTTTATTGATTATGAAGAAAAGTCATACAAATTTAAGAGGCTCAAAAGCTGTTCCAAAAACAGCATTCAAGTCTTTTGGTAAAATTCCTAAAAAGGACATAATTTTTGGGGAGGGAGGGGGGGGGGTACATATGTCACCAACCTGTTTCCAATAGGGTGTGTGCAAAGATACAAGCTTCCTCAGGTGGCTTGGTTTAAAATTCCTTAAAGTTTAGCCATCAAATTTAAAAAATACCGGTATGTCTGTTTTGTCATAATCCAAGAGTGACCGACGTCAATTTTCTCCTAACAAATATATCATACATCATAAAGAGACAAGCCTTCCTACTTTAGAAAAGGTTATGAGAAATAAAATGATCATCAAATACAAAGCGTTTTCATCTTTCAACTAATTCTTCACGGAAATGTATAGAGATGAGTCTGGAGAATTTGTATGTGGACATTAGGGCTTGAAGGGTTAAAAGAGAGACGAAGGTTTTGGATCTATATACTCGCATGTTATGCCGAAAACCAATATTTAAGTCTCTTTCTTACATTAAGCAAAGGTTGAGATAATATTGCTGCCTTAAATGTAGGCATTAATCTTCAAATTTGTTCATGTCAGAGAAAAAAGATATAAAATATTGGTAGCAAAATGATATATTAATGCTTGTATCCGTTCTCTTTAAGTTCCATTGACTTAACATAAATCTGTTCTTTTGAATGCCAACTTGTCATACTTGCATGGTTCGTTAAAAAATGCCAAGATTGTATGCCTTCTCCTTTGGCAAGAATTTTTTTGTTTGCTTTACTTAATTATATATTTGACCATAATAAACTAATTATTAAAATTATCAATAATAATAGTAATAATATAGTGGAACCCCGTTAATATGGTCACCAATGGGCCAAAAAAATTTGTCTGTATTAACAGATGGCCTTGATGACAAGGTGACCGTAGGTGGCCGTAAGGCGGGGTTCCACTGTAATACATTATTATTAATGATTGGCTTTGTAAGCTTCACTGTACAAAACTGCTAAAATTACTAATTTTGGTAATATTCTGCTCTTTAAAAAGGTATTGGTTTTGTTCCAAAATAGTTACCGCTGGTCGGAAACTTGTTTTCGTTGTTTATGTAGTAATATTATTCATATTATTTCCTTGAAAGTTACCTGTACATAATGATAAATATGTTTAATGCTCATGGTTATTAAAGCTCTTTATTTTTCTACTGGAAAAAGCTGGGAATTACAGTTCTGTTGGAAATTATTAAACTTTTGAATATATTATGCTCCTGCTTTATTAGCTATGCTAGCCTGCAGAACAGGCATTATATTTTCGCATTTTTTTGGCAATTGATAGCAAGCGCAAGGCAGTTGAGGCGTGTGAAACCAGGGGCGGATCTAGGGGGAGGGTGCAGGGGGTGTGCACCCCCCCTCCCCCCCCCTGAGATGACCTGCAGTTTTCTGATACAACTGGTATTCTCCAAAAAAAAACTATGTGGTTTATTGGTGTTGAAGTAGAGCAAGAGACGAGTGCACCCCCTCCTAAAAAAAATCCTGGATCCGCCCGTGGAAACTTGCGCAAAGTGGGAGACACAGAATAAAATAATTTTCTCTGTCTTCCACCATCACACATCTCATGCTCCATGCCCGTTTGGTGCTTTGTTATCCAGAAAAAAAATAATAAATAATAGCGCATGTTCTGCCGGTTACAGTCAACTCTCTTTATAGCAGACACTCTAGAGACCTCAAGTTAATGTCTTCATTAGCAAGAGTCCGTAATAGTGGGAGTTTATTTCAGTCAAATATCTGTAATATATTTTTCCTGGGATTAAAAAAAAGTTGTCCCTGTTATCGGGGCATCTGTTAGAGCGGGGTGTCCACAAGGTGAGAGTTGACTGTATGGCTATGCTTACATAAATTTTCCTTGTTAACCAGTGATAGAAAACAAAAGTCATTTATTAAAATAAAAAGTTTAACACTGAGTCTAAGTAGTGGTCCTGTTTGTAGTCTCTTGAATTCTCTGCAATGTTCATTCGAAATACGCGGTAACTCAATCTCCCTTTTAAGTGCTTTATATTTAAAGAAATGTTTTAAGAATGATTTTTTGAGATGTATTGTCCTTTTAAGTTGGATTCCCACCCAGATAATGATGGTCAGACACCCAGGGGGGTACTCAGGATTTCAAGTGACAGGGATGACCGAATGGGGGCAAAAATCAAATTAAAAGAAAAACCCTAGGGCTTCCAACGAAACCCCCAAAAATCCCTGGATCAAAACTTAACCCCGAAAAGTCCCATCCCATCGAATATGCAAGCACTGACACAAATCCTCAGATTGCTTTGAATACCCAAAAATATCCCGATTTAAATTAAACCACCAGAAAAATAGTTGCCAAATTGTCCTACCCAAAAAAATACCAGAATCAAAAATAAATCCTTTGATCATCCATCACTTGAAATCTGGAGTACCCCCCTGAGGTCAGCAGGACAATCCATCTTGAAATGACAGCAGGACGATGTTCACTTTGGATGAATCATGTGATTTTATCTGTCTGTTTACCAGTGTGTCTTGATGGACTCCCACAGCTGCATAGAATATTTATTGCATTGGCTGTTTCTGCTTTAGACTGAGATGGATACCTTATTTTAGGAAATTAACACTTCATGAAATTAACGCGAATCTCCAAAATTCGCGTTAATTTTAGTCACGTAAATTTATGTTACGTTAATTTCCGTGCCGTTAACCAAGTGTAGTGTTTTAAAAATTCCATTATTTTTACTCCAATTTCTCAATACCATCTGACAGTCTTGACACCTAAGAGAAAGGAGTTTTTTTTTATCAGGGTGGTGGTCCGCTAGTAACAGAGAAATTGTGTAGAACTTGAAGTGGCCTGATTTCTTTCCTTAAACTAGCCTTTATAACAGGCGCTTTAAGAGCCAAGCGAGGTGAACGCGGCATTTTGCGCGAAACGAATACGAAGCGCGGGAAGCGGGGAGGAGAAAATAAGGCCCTCTATTATTCTTCTCCCCCCGTCCCGCGCTTAGCACTCATTTTGCGCTTCGCGTAAAATTGTTTTTCACTAAATTTGCGTTAATTTGCTATAATGAGGTTATCCTCATTTCAGTTGTGGCAGTTTCACTTATATCTCTTCAACTACTCCCTCAAATCATGGTAAAATATTTAAGTATTCATATTTTACAAAATTAAATTTGAAAATTTTCGTTAATTTTGATCAATTTTGGGCACATTTGGAAAGAAATAAGTTAATGGCTGACACAAAAGACTGCCTGCAGACGTTATATTTCATGTTTTTTCAGGCGTGTGAAAGGTCAGTACAAGGCAAGTGTGGAGCATGAGACACTTTCCTCACACTCACCTTGCACTAGCTTCACTTGCGTGAAAAATGCTAAAAAATAATTCCTGTTGTGCTGGCTGCACAACTGATAGAAACTTTATATGGCATCACAATAAGGCAAATGCGTTTTTTATTCATTAGTCCTTCATTAAATATTTCTAAATCTCAATACATAGTCACTGAAAAATGTAAAAGATGGACCAATTTGCAAGACTTAATTACATGGACCATAAGTAAGAAAGAATAACTTTTTAAGTAGCGAACAGCAAAAACGAATCTCTAACCAAGATGACTTAAAACTGTAACCTCATCAACAAAGTGCTGACATATTTTCTTTTTTCACGTGTCAGCCAAATGTTAGTCACCATGTGGGAAATAATGTTTCCATTTCAATAATATCACTAGGAACATATACAAATGTATACCGAGTCTTATTTTACCAAAGATGTTATAACTTCTCACAGGAATAAGAATTCCCGAGGGTAAGCATGTGGTCTATAAAGGTACTTTTGCGTAGATAGAGTGTTATCATAGTAAAAAGCCTTGAGATCACAAGACTGACCAACATCAATTTTCTCCTAACAACATCAGCAGATCATCAAGGGTAAAGGTTATGAGAATTACTTAATTGATTACCAAAAGGGACAACGCTTTGATCTTAAACCAAATTCTCTCAACTATTCTTAAAAGAAATGTATAGAGATCAGTCGGGAGAATTTGTATGTGGATCTTGGGGCTTAAAGGGTCAAGTGCTCTCTGCATATAGACACAGATGAGACCTCTTGGGCAGAACTACTGCATGACACTATTTGTTTCCATGTATTTTAACAAAGTGAAATTTGGAATTTTTGTGAATTGTTTTCCACTGGCTACTGTTGGGCAACTGGGAGTGAAGGGGTTATTTACCAAGCTTTAAAAGGTCTTTCAAAGTTTTGCATTTGTGAAAATGACAATGCCTACATAGAACCATAAAGGGAGCCAATTAGCAGTACTTTGGCAATGTTCATAGAGCTGCAGTATGCAAAGAAAGTTATGTTCTTAACTTATCACCCAGTGGGCCAGAGGGAGTGTTTTGGGGGGAATTTAAAATTACAGAAGTACTATTTTAAGACTATAATGTCTAAATTCCCAATAAATTCCTTTGGATGGAAAGCTGTTTTTCAAGCTGATCTGACAAAGTGAAATTACGATATTAAATTCTAATTACAATGAATTGATGAAGAGAGTAATCAAAAAACTACCAGTGTAATTAATAAAATATTAATAAATAATAATAAATTAATCATAGATCCTGCATATCAAAAACATTTTTCCACTGGTTAAGATGATTCTTGGGCCAGTACCTGCCCAAAGGGCAAGCTAAAAAACTGACTTTCTCTGCACCCTGAGCTGCACTACCCAACAAGAAAAAAATTGTTCTCTTCATTTTTTCAATATTTTCAAAACAAAATTTGTAGTTATTTTTCTTTTAGATTTAATAACTTGGGCTTAACAAAATAAAAAACCCAAAGGGTAAATTTTAGACAGACTACAAAGTCCTTTTCTTGAGAAAATACAAGAAACACATTTGAACTTTGTCAAATGTCAAGACACTTCCATTTGCATCTGACCTAAGAAAGAATAAGAGATTTATGCTGATGTAATACAGAGCCCTCTCTTTTAAAATCACTGGACTGCTCACTGTTCTTCACTGCAGCTTTTTCTTATTGTCCAAAACGCCATCTACTTTGTTAATTTCTGCTTTCTCTTCTTCTGGTCCTGATTCTTCATCACTGCGTACATCTCCCTCAACCTTGCAGACAAACAAATATGTCACAAATTTAACAAACAGAATCATGATCATAAGGTTGCAAGGTTTAAGCTCACTTGTGTATGGGAAGAATGTCAAATACAAACTACCGCATGTATTACCAAAATATTGGCCTCCTTTCTTTATTTTTCACCAAACAATACGCCTTCAACATTGCTGACCTTGCGGGGGTGGGGGCAGGGGTGGTGTTCCCCATAATGGCCCGCCTATACAGGGAGGCTCCACCCATAAAGGGGTATCTTTTTCAGGACCTCAGGAATATGAAAGGGTAGAGATTTCACTAGTTGAAGTATTTAAAAGGGTTAGAAAATATGTTATTTCCATGATCTGTAAAACAACCTAAAGGGGCGAATAGTAAAAATTTACCGCTGTGAAAAAGAGAGAAAAAAACGTGGTTTGTGATTTTTTCAAATTTCAAAGACAGTGCATTTACAGTAGTTAACCCTTTAAACCCTAAGATCAAAATTTGAATTCTCATTTGTTGTCCCTATTCACTTCCTACAGAAGTAGTGGTGAGAAGTTGATAATACATCAAGCAAATTCATCATGTGTGATCAGGTCTGTAATTCTCATGACCATTCTGTTTTACAAAGCATTGATATTACAAAGAGAAATTTGATGCTGATCACTCTTAGGGCTGAAAGGGTTAAAAGGGATGCAAAGTTGTAAACTTGGTTTACATGTAAAAGGGGAAACCTTTTCTGTCAAAGATGGTATATAAAAGGGTAAGGAGTTGGACCTCGATCATGGCGCAGCTTTGCCGGATAAAAATTTGTTCAGTGCCCCCTCCCCCCCTCCCCACTAGACTGCTGATCCTAGCATTACACAGGGACCGTGGCACATACAAAACTACTAGATGGCCTTACTCCCTTCAAGCCTTCTTACAGTGCAGTGGTTGGAGTGCATGCCTGGTGTTTGGGGGGATCATTGATTCAAATCTTTTTGCAGAGACTCAAGACTATTTTTTCTTGTCCCACGTTAATGATGTAACAGTCATTTAATGACATCTTTCTGGTTGAAAGATTTTTACTTATAAGTGAGTGCACCTCACCATAGCCCTGTTCCATAGCCTCATACACTTATTCCTTAGAAATGACACATTTTTCAGGGAGTACATACAGTATGTCTGCTCTACCGAAGAGCTCAACTCACCGTTCCTTTTCTAAAAAAAGACAAGGCCATCTCGGCAATCTTGTAAGACCAATACATGTGAAGAACCTGAAATAATAATGATAAGAGCATTACCAACCACCAATTTTTTTAAGAACAATAAGTAAGAACTTTACTGTAAAAGGAAGTGCTGGCATGGGAACTATAAAATTTTACTGCAACAGTAACTGAAATTGTGTTGAAAATAAAGTTAAGGGATAAGACTGCAATTATAATATATAAAAAAATTAGAATTTAGGAGTAAAAGGTTCCATGCTGAAATTTAATGAACTTTCAATGAAATGCAAACTCTGAATTCTCATTTTTCAACCAACAGCTGCCGCAGCCTCCAATTATCATAGCAGACATCCCATGCAACAAGAAAAATATCCGGTCACATTCTGTAAACTGTCTTGGGCTTATACATCTTCGAAAGGTTTTAGGAGGGACTATAAACGCAGGGGCTGTATCAGAGGGGTGTTATAACCGGAATAGAAAAAGCGTTTTGAAACAAGCTATAGCAAAGCTGATTAAAAGCTTGAATTTACTGGGGTTTTTTGCAGGCAACAAGAGGAGCCCGCAATCCTAATCTGCAGGTTGTTATTATGCATGTGTGGCATGTATGTAGCCAGCATTCATTTGGACTTCCAGTAAGAATGAATGCAACGCACAGAATGCAATTTGATCATGCGGGTTTGGACCTTCTATCACTCATAATCTGATCACGCGTGTTTTTACTATCCATCGCTAGTAAAACTTATGCAAAGCACAGCAATGGAGCAAAAGTGTTTTGACCTTCGTTTGCTGTTGCCCGCACTCCGTACTAGTAATTAAGCTTTAAAATGTCATATAATAAATCAATATAAACTAGAGGGGATATATATCTGGGGGGAGAGGGCTCATAATTGGGTGTATTTTTTGTTTACAGGTAAAGGGGGGGGGGCGCTAATCATCGGCAGTTTACAGGATGCAGCCTGAGCCATGATTGGCTGATTTATGCCCTGACCAACATTTTCAGTTCCATATTTAGACATCCAATTTTAGTTCTCACAACGTGACCACATAATGGCAGCACACACTGTTTATTCCCTGCATGGGATTTAAATTTCAATTAATTACCTGCAAACATAGGAGAAGTCCCATGAAATAAGGCCAAGCTTTAAATGGACCACAATAACTTGGAGAGTAGTACACAGTATGCAGTACCCTGCATCAACAAGAAAAAACACCAAAAACAAGTAAATAAGTCATTTTTCCAAGGTACCCAAAGACTCTGTTTCAAAGCTAGGCTGACTGCAAAGCCACTGATATGAAAATGGCTTCTTATTCTAATGGAAATGAAACTTATTTTCACAAAAAAAGGTTTTGCACTTAATGTCGTTTTGAAAGTACAAGATTTTGGAACTTGGAAATGGCTCATCCAGGTGCTGTCCTAAGCTCTGCTTTCTCCACCCCACATAAAAAGATTCAATCCATATTCAGTTTTCACTTTCATAACACAAGCAGCAATACAGAAACAAATCTTAAGGCTGGTTTTCACTAGCGACGGAGTCGGAGTCTGAGTCGTAATCAGAAGCGTCGAGCTTATGATCTGGTGAAAACAGCGTTCCGATTCCGCTTACCACTCCGTCGCTTACGTTCCACTTATGATCTAGTGAAAACCAGATTGTCGGAGTCGGAAGCAGGAGCAGAAGAACCAAACCAATCACAAAGGGTGGGAACGTGCATTTTGATTGGCTTATCCTTCCACTTCTGCTTCCGACTCCGACAATCTATTTTTCACTAGATCATAAGTGGAACGTAAGTGACGGAGTCGGAAGCGGAGTCGGAAGAAAATGGAAACGTTCTGATTCTTCTGACTCTGATTCCGTCGCGCTTATGACTCCGCTTATAACTCCGATTTTTGATTTTCACCAGGTCATAAGCGCTCTTACGACTCCGCTTACGACTCCGACTCCGTCGCTAGTGAAAACCAGCCTTTATGGCTACAATGTTATGACTAAAGGTTCAATTTATAATTAACAAATTAAGATGCCTTGACAGTGCTCTGTTCTGTTGTAAAGCACGCAGGAAGTGACTAGCACAGTCAAGACTTCTTTCTTTGTATTATTATAAAGCATCGGTTTAATTCCCCACATAGTACTTTCTAATTTTCAAAACAAACTATTGGCAGATGGCATCACGTTTGCAACCAATCAGAGTGCGTGTTATATCTGAACTTGATTATAAATATTGATAAATTCACTACTGGAATCTATGAGGGCATAGCTGTAAAAATTTAAAGAACATCATTACTAAAATGTCAGGTAGAATGGCCCATTTTCATTTGCACAATATCAAAATCAAATGGTTTGATGCAAACACACTGTTATAAAGGTTACATCAATTTTGCGAGTGATTACACCGTATAAATTTGTTTCTAAGGCTCCTTGACTGAATGTGAGAACTGCATCAAAGCAGATCACCTTTTTACTTACCAAAATGGATAATAAACCAGTCTTGATGAATTAAATATCAGAGCAAACAAAATAAATGCTATGTTGCAGGTTGCCTCCCACTTAGCATAGTTAAACACCTTTGCTGACTGCAAAAAAAAAAGACATGATTAAACTTGGCCGAATGCAAGTTAGGGTACCAGTAATTAAACTCAAAGGGTGTTTGGATGATGGTTTAGAATGGGCAGAGTGCAAAGAAAGTCAGTCGGCTCCAATAGCCTGAGGCTAGTGGATTTTGCTATATTTCAGTGTGAATTAATGCCACACTAGTGGTCACCCTCACAGGGTTGTCAAAGCTACCCTCAACATTGGACTGCAGTGCATACACTGTATGTCACATGTCTATATCACATATCAGACCCATGCTATAACAACTATTACTGAAAATGTTGGGGACTTGAAAAAGGCATCCTGGCCCTGTAGTAAAAACAAAGGATGTGCCAGACACCCAAGCCCCATCAATAGGCCTCTTGCACTAAGAGGTCACGTGACCCACGCTTCTTTTAAACCATGAGTTGGAATCTTGTTGACGCCAAAAATTGACCAAGCACATAAAAATTACCTTACACCCGAAATTTGGGAGGAAACGCATTCAAGGGAGATATTTTATGGCACTTTGATTTTTCAACAAAGTAGTATGATTTGTATTGGCCGCCATGTTGGATGGGCATACTCTTGCACTCCAACATGGCAGCCAAAACTACTTTTGACTTATATCTTGTTAAACGTTTGATAGTTACGCTCAGATGTGCTATTAACGTTCCCACATCATCTTGTCAACAATTTCCTTCAAGTTAAAGTGTAAAATTTGAGTTCAGAAAGAGGTAATTCGTAGTTTTAAAAAACACCTTCTGGTCACATGATCAGCTACGAACTTAGCCATTTTAAGAAAATAATGCAGGTTTGACAAACCAAATCACTATTATTTTGTTTAAGATATGACCCATTAATCATTTTTGGAAGAAAAAATCATATAACTTTCATTTTCATAAAAACGATGTCATATGACCTCTCGGTGCAAATGGCCTATTCAGTGATCCAACTGTTAAAGTACATGTAACAAAACATACCATGAGCCCTATATTGAGCCACCACCTGTCCCAGTGGCCTCTCTTTTTACATGAAAATAGGAAATTGAGGGACTATATTTAATAATGGCAATGATAAGAAATAAAACAAATCCATCTGGTGGCAAGGTTTTAGCCAGAAGGGAGTCCAGCAGTACTTTAGACGCCCACGTTTGGAAGAAATACAAGGAAAATTCACTTAATCTCTTATAATTCTATGGGAAAACATGCCCGCCTTCTGGACGGCCAGTGTCCAATGTCTGGCTAAAAGCCTGCCTGGTGGTGAGGTCATGGCTCAAACCAGGGTACCCTGCCGGGTTGAGTTGTTCAAAGCCAGGTTAACCTAACCCAGGGTTAGTACAAAATTTGAATTCAGATATGAAAGCTTAAATGCAGATTCAGTTTAATTCATTTTGTCTACGATTTGATGATTACCTAATCTAAATGGAATAGAGAAAATCTGAGAAAATGCTTTTGAAGAAAAGAAAAAGAGGCCCGGGTTAAAATTTAACCCTGGGTTAGTGCTAACCTGGATTGTAAACCCAGCAGTATGAGTCCCAAGTGGGCATGCTACCTCCATTTGGCTCAATTTCCATCACCCTACTGGGGACAGTCGTTGATCCCCCGCAAAGTGCCCCGAATAGCAATTGGTAATAAAGCCTACTTTCCATCCAGAAATACAATCAATCCCTATTTGGCTGGTGACAGCCAGCTGAAACCCACCTCAAGAAAGATATCTGCCAAGTCATGTAGCAAAACGATAATAGATCCAATGCGGAAGAAACCACTATAGTAGGAGAAGATTAATAACAGGACCGTAACTATATGGTGAACAACCATTTGCCAAAAATCCTGCAAAATAAAAAAAAGTAGTAGCAAGAATTAGTTATTAAGCTCACAACATCATTGACAATACTGGATCATTTTGTCAAAATTATCCTCTTATCTCTACTTTAATGCCACTTAAATTTTGCCATTGAACAGTTTTTTAAAGTTAACTTCTTTTGTGATTCATACATTAGGAGTTCATCACAATCTTTAGCAAAAATTATTGGAGAAAGCAAAAACTATAACCTAAACCAGAGTTCTCTAAGTGCTTAGCCCTGTTACCAACTATTTTTAAATGACAAGAGAGCTTTCAAAACATGACAAAATTCCTTAGCAGATGCAAGAAAACATGATTCATACTAACCTTTCTTTTAACATCAACAAACAAGGATATAATTAAAGACACGTAGAACCCTGTCTCAAACAAGTAGTAGTAATATATTTCATCCGTGAGGGACTGAAAAGAGACAAAAAACAATAACCATTGTCATGATATAATAAATAAATAAATAATGATTTAGAGGAAGCACAGTCACATGTTTATTTTTAATTTTTTGACCATTTCTTATCAACTTGGAATTTAAAAAAATCTTGGTTTTAATAATAAGGGAAAACTAGAGTGTTAACCAGTTGGAGAAGACATATAGAATAAGAAGAATAAGAACCCCAAAAAATTGGAATTTGTGGGGGCAGATCCAGGATTTTTCTTAAGAGGGGATGCACCATTAAGGAATGGTGAAACTGATTGGTGACATAAAGAACTTTTAAACGCGACAACGAAGAAGGCTTTTGAATTGGGTAATAACATAATGTGAACTGCTGAGAATACACATCATACATATCTGCATATTTTGCAGAATACCAGTTGTATTATAAAAGCTGCAGGTCATCTCAAGGGGGAGGGGGAGGGGGAGGGGGGAATTGCACACCCCCTGCACCCTCCCCCTAGATCAGCCTCTGATTTGAATGTGGGCTGCTGGGTGGGGGTAGGTTAGTGAGCCTCAACTACTATACCACTTTTGATTCTCCTGTCATTTAAGTAAGAATGAAGTATGTATACTAGTTAGTAGTAATGTAAATACAAGGCAACATGGGACCTACATGCTTGCCATGACCAAAGAAGCAGTGTCTCAGATCCCAGAGCCAAGGCTCCTAAACAAAGTGGTAAAACAAAAGGATGTTTAAACCTGTAACTTCAAAAACATTAATGTCACCTTGCTAAGAATGAAAAACACACTCCACGGGCAAAATGTTCTTTCAAACGGATTTCCAGAAAGTTGGTGTTACATTATGTGTTACATTATCTCAACACCTAACTAACTCAGGCTGCAAAATGAGGGGTATAGAGTGGCTACTGGAAAAACCTGGGTCTTGGAAAAATTTTGGCCGGAAATCTCAGGAACATTTGTGATGGGTCATAATGTCTCATTTTCGGGTGATGTTGCGTCTTGGAGTCCCCAACTTTTTCAAGTCTCAGTCTCAAATGTTGAAACCGGGGTCTCACAGTCTCGCAAAGCCTTGAATTAACCATTCTATAAGCCTAAAATGAGTTTCAGCCAAGGTTGTAAGAAGCATAGCTGCAATGATCCACAAAATTAGGTGAGCCGCGTTGACCTCAACAACATTTCATACATTTTTCTAACACTATCTACTTCAATAAGAATAAAAAAGGCTTCCCTTCCCTGAACACTCCAAAATAATATTTTGCCACTGCTTAAGCAACCTGTTGAAGCCAACAAACAGGCCAGCGTTTGGTCTTCTGAGGAATGCATTTCTTACTACTTCCCAAATATACCCCATTACAGAACAATGGGCTACCTTAAACAATATGACAAGTCCATAAATAGATGTTGCCAAATAGAAGACAAATCTCCAACTACAATATAGAACAAAAGATGTAAATGTTAACAATGCATTGCTCACATACTTGGCATTCCTGTAACTCACACAATGTGCCCTGCACAGGGCATCCAGACACTCGTCACACCTACTTAGCAGTGAGAAAGAGAGGAAGAGAGGAGGGGAAGACAACTGCACTAAAACAAGGAATTAAAAAACAATCATGCCCATAGGTCATTGCTTGCTTAGCAGCCAGGGCTATTGTGGACCCAGGGGTTTCCATAAAAATTGAACCAGCCAGCAGGTTTGAATAGAGTAACTGACTGTATCAACACAAGGGGCCGTTAGTCCCCTTTTTCTAGGGGGCTGGGGAGGCTAAGCACATTCTGCCCCAGGAAATTTTGTAACTTCAAAGTTCTAAAATGAGGACAAAAGAGCATGAGTTTCATTCAAGAAAATTTAGCATTCAATTTATCAATCACACAATCAATTCCTGCAAGCAATGAACAAAGGATGAAAGCTAAATTACATACTTTTGCATGTAAACAAATTCTGCATAAACCTATAAAGAAACTTGTGAAAAAATGACTGAAATATAGCGTTCACACGACTAAGGCATCATGTAAAACCAGTAGGCCTTTATGAAAACACATAATTACGTTTTCATTCTGATTTTATGATATATTTCTCGCTTACAACATTATTCAAACTAGTTTCTTCTTCTTTCTAGGAAAAAGTAGCTGACCTCTGTGGGCAAAGTAGCCGACGCTTTTCATCGGTCATTGGCCATCGTTTCTTACTGAAACCCTTGTGGACCAGACTTAGACTGTACCCCACAAACTCTTAGGACCTGAAGCTGACACTCTTTTATTGAAGTAGCTCTGCTTGGCTAATTAATTTGCCCTTGACATTTTGTATAAAAAGGTGACTGAAGCTAGTCAAGCCATTCTCTCTTATAACCATCTGGCCAAAACAAGGCAAAACTGTTCAAAACATTGTTTATGAGTCGAGCAGAGAGTGCTGAGGTGTGGATGTGGTAATAAGTTATCTCTATTTATTAAAAACATAAAAAGGGAAAAAGGAACAGGATTCTTAGTCAAATCTGATTAACAAAAAGCCAATTAAAACCCTTTAACTCCCAAGCCTGACCAACATAAATTTTCTCCAAACAATATCAGTACATAATCAAGGCAAAAGGCTGTGAAAATTGGTTAAATGATCACAAAAGGGGAAATGCATTGATCTTTTATCAAATTCTCCCAACTTGTTTTCATAGGCAATGTACAGAGATTAGTCTGGAGAATTTATATGTTGGTGATAGAGCTTAAATAGTTAAGCCAGTTTTTCCCTACCTGCTCTCTGTAGCTTTCCTCATAAGAGACGGTTTTGATTGCTGACGGCGATTTTTGAACCATCTTTTGACCTCACGTGTTGACCAGCCGAGCTGTTTTGATAATCCTTCAATTCTTTCAGCATTGGGTGATTTACTAATAGTCTGGTAAACCTTCTCACAGAATGTATTTGGAACAAACACTGAGGGTTTGTCTTGTACTCCAAGATATCGTGCAAATGGGGTAGCAATAAACCTAACGGGTAAGGTAAAGATCACATCAAGATAACAAAACGGTATAACCTTGCTAACTCCAACTTCCAAGGGGAAACATACACTTCATTTTTGAGGAAAATTAAGCTGTTGAGAAAACATTTTCTTGACACTGAGCAACACTGCAAGGCTGTGCTCCAAAGAGAAACTGAAAGTAGCCCAGAGCTCTGAACCTGTGAAATCCAGGGTGTCCAACATATGATTTCTGCTAGAAAGAGGAAGATTTTCTATAATGCCCGGAAGCAAATGTTAGCCACCAAGGGCCACCAGGTGCTGATTGAACAAAGCCTTGCACTGAAATTGAAATCACTGAGTATTTAAAGTGGTGAGTTTGAGTTAATTACCAAGCTTTAATAAATAGGGTTTTACATGAATGGTAATTTTCCATTGCAAGCCTCATATTACAAAGCAAAGCTCTTAAAAACCAAAAGTCTAGGGTCCTTGGGTCAAGACTAGAGGACACACCCTGGAACTGTAAAAAAGCAAGTATCTCATTAAAAAATAGACCATCAAAAATGAGTTCAATTTGTGAATTCTAAAATTAATAATAACAATTATAGAAGTGATAAACTAAAAAGCAATTCAGTGACTTATAATGACATGACTTGGATATATTTTCAAGACAATTTTTACAAACATTGAATATCATAACAAAACAAACTAAGAAATTTACAAACATTGGGTATTGTAACAAATCAACAACCTGTCACAGCAACAGGTGATAGGAAAAATAAAAAAGCCCTGCTAAAAAGAAAAGAAGCCAAAGGCTTTCTCAGTTTTTACATTTCCCACAAAAAAAATATTTCTCAAAGGCAAAATTAAATGCAATTCTAGTCCTGTAGCAGTATGAAGGATGTTTATCACAAGAAAATACTTTAATGGCCTTAGTTCCCACAGGACTCCTGTACCCAGCAACATTATCTAGACTAAAACCAAAAAGACATAGCTGGCCTTATATCCTATTGGGAGAACATGGATTTCTTTTTCCTGAGTTGCCAGCATCACTGACTGAATAAAGCAGCATTCTCCTATCTTCACCACCAAGGTTTAAAATATGCTCCATCGCATTTATATCAAATGTTAGAATTACTTTTAAGTTTAAGGTCAATAAATTAATCCGTACCATATAAACCCATCCAGATAACAAATTTTGTGCAATTTGTTTTTATGGCAAGTAAATGTAACCTTTGCTGATCTTTGCTTGATCAGCAAAGCAATAGAATCGTCAGTTAACACTTTTGTTTCCTGGACTAACGCTCTAACGGATACAACTAATGCTCTAACAGATATGCATGAGTTGCTAACGAATTGACTAACACCTCTAACGGATACAACTAACGTTCTAACGGATACGGATTAGTTGCTAACGAATTGCCTAACGTCTCTAACGATTTTCATTGAATCATCTAACGGATAACCAATGGACAGCTAACGGTCTAACCATTTAACGAAATATCGTTAGTGTACGTTTTCCCAAAGAAGGTCACAAATACTGGCTTCAAGACCAATGGGGGTGACTGTTATATCATAAACCTAAAAATTTGCAGACCCACTATATTTTGTTGCTGATCTTTGTATCTCTGGAATTTTCAGGGTTGTATGATACAATTTTGGCATGAGAAGGGTTATGTGATCTCTAGCTGCAAGAGGTAGATTATCTTAGCTTTTCATTACTTTCTAAAATAAATTGTTGCCAACTTCACAGTCTATAAGTGATCATGTTGGCTAATAAATTCCAAAAGACACTGTGAATTGGGAGGTAGTTTCTCTGAAGGGATGGGATGGGGTGGGGGGGGGGGGTACAGGGCTCAAAGTTTAAATTTGAGTTTGGGAGCACTTGTGCTACCAGATGTAAATTTTTAGGCGCACTGCCGAAATTTTAGGCGCACAGCTGAAAAGTTTAGGAGCACAGCTTATAATGTTGGGAGCATCTATTTCAAAAGAAAAAGTAAGAAGCTTAACAGTGCCACGTTTATTTGTCATCTTCAGTTTGTTACTTTTACTTCAGTCCTGTGATTGATAAAACACAGCCGATTTGCTACGCAGTAATGCCGTTGTGATATCTAATACTAATTTCTCTTTTTGACAGTACAGTTGTGACTAAAGAAAACTTACACTTCAAAAAACAAATCAAAACTGACAACAACGAGTGTGTCGAACGAGAATCAGAATTAATCTTTAATGCATTTGTTAAATGCGCAATGACTTACATGTAACTGGAATACGACTTAAAAAACTTTCCTACTTGGAAAAAAGGCTCTTGAGCCGCACTGTTTTTGTTTTGATTGACGTTAAAACTGAACATTCGACATGATCGTCCGTTGCGCAAAAAGTACGTGTTTCGTTCGTAGCATATATTTGCATGTATCAGCGGTGTTTATTACAAAACAGAAGAGTCTGGGATGACATAAAACATCGAAACGAAAAAGAACATTCGAGTTCGTAGAATCCATTGGGAGAAAAGACCAATTAAACATACACCGTGTTTCTAGTTCGAGTTCGTAAGTATAGTCGGAAGTGCTTTGGGTTTTAGGGCGCACAGGTGCGATTACACATGAATTTTTAGGTGCACAACCAAAAATCCAGTCGCATATGCGACCAGTTAGTCGCTAACTTTGAGCCCTGGGGTAGCTACAGCACCCTGCTAGGGGGAAGGGGGGTTGATGTGTGGAGACATGACATTTCAGACTAAAGTTTAGGGAGACTATTTTCACTCTGAGCTTATAATAGAAGGTTGTTGTTCTTCACTTGACTCTAGGCTATGTGATAATCACCTGGAGTGCATCAATGTTTTTTTTTTATTTTACAGGTGAAAGCACTTTATGAACAGGTGCATCAAGCAAATGTTGGGCACTGATTATAATCAGAAAAATAAACAAAGGACATATGTAACTGTAAAACCATTTAAAAGAGGTCATAAATGCAAATTTTCAAGTCTGAACTTCAGTCGATTTTAAACCACTTTTCTGAAGGTAACAAAAATATGAATGAGCAGGTGTTTGGTCAAAAATGGATTTTATTGTATTTCCGATATCCAGACATGTAAATTTTCTACGTTTTAAATTCTCGGCTACAGGTCACACCTTTTACCAAAAAAAAATTATGGTTTCACGCATTTTAAGCCTTTATGGATTCCCCAAACTACCCTAAATTTAGAAGATATAACTTAATTTAAGTACCTTTCATAAAGATTTGCGTAACGTGTGATTATTGCTTGGTTTTACTGTGACAAGTTGCGGTCAATGGTTTCATTTTCTGAAGTTTTGACAGCACATAAATAAATAAAGTCGCGATATAAAACTACTAGAGCGTCACAAAATATCTATGCCCATGATAAGAAAATCCCCTTGAAGATTTTCCAGTCTTAAACGTTGTAAGAAGTTTGGTTGATGATAACGACGCTACCCTTCGGTCCCCCAAAGCTCTTGACAGGCAAGGACTCCGGAAACGTGAATAAGCTTACCCTTTGGATCGCTTGTGGGATATAAGAAAAAAAATTTGTCCGGGCTTGCTTGCTTTTACTAATACGGACGATTCAATCAAAACGATGATTTTTTTGCTTTCTTGATTCTTCAAAAAGAAAAAGTCGTTTAGCGTAAATAACCAACTGTACTTCAAAAATCTCCTCATATGTAGCCAAAAGGTCATAAAGCCGTGTACGGTTACAATACTACGATAGAACAGATCAACTCCACTTACTTTTCGAAGAGAAAACGTAAAATAATCAACACTATAGCCACGGGAAAGGTTAAATACAACTCTCCGTTTCGACCCCAGCTTAGATTCTTTGATTCCTCAACGTTCTGCCAAGAAGAGTTTACGGGAAGCCAAAAGTCAGCGTCCCAGAACCAAGTTCTCCATGTGTGCAAAGCCGCCGCCATCACTCAAGCAAGTTGGAAATGATACATGTCCCACAACCACCGTTCGCCCCCTTCGTTTCAGCTGGACACCTGGCTTTATCTTACACGAGTTGAATAACAGGACAATCTCGCTGTGAACAGAAATCCGCCATGTTGTTGGTTGTCAAGTGAGCTCGAAAATGCTCTAAGCTTTTAAATTTTGACAAACTGCAATGGGTGACTGTAACCTATGGGAAGATCGAGATGTTCGTTTTGATATCACCCTACAGTAAGTTTGATTTAGCAATAATTTTTGGCATTATAATATGTATTTAATGCAATTTGAATTGGTGGCGTTTTGTAGACATGATCATGATGAAATCTGAGAAATTTAAACTTAACTACAGGGTATAGGTAAGATTTCCGTATAAACCCATACATTTATTATGCATGCAGCAATTTCATACTTTTTCTCACAAATAGTTTAAAATGAATAAAGTCGAAACATGTTATGCATAATAAGTGTATGGGGGTTGTACGGAACGTAATCGACATTTTTACGGTTTTTCAACTTTTTATATGAACCAGTAGTGAAAACCCGTCGAGACCACTGAAAAGAGCGCCTTGAAATTAATAAAACTGCCAAATTTGAAAGTGATACGTCTTTAGCGAGCAAAGATATAGCTCTGTAAAGTTGCAAAAATTTACAGACGTTTGTATGGTTTTCGACAAATTACTTTCAAACTTGGCAGTTTTACTAAATTTCAAGGTGCTCTTTTCAGTGGTGTTGACAGGGTTTCCCAAAATTGTCCATGTTAAAAGTTGAAAAAAAACTGTGAAAAGGTGTATTCCTGCAATATAACATATATCACATGGATTGTCTTCAAGGGTCATAAGGCCATCCTCTTTTTTTCTCCGTTTAGTGTCGTCCAACCAACCCAAATTTTTGGCATCTTCAAAAAAAAAAAAAGTAACGACGTAGTGAAACCATTTTTCACTTGAAATAATTCTTTTAATCTGAAAAATGAGCATAGTCACAGCATAGAGAAAAACAGGAACAAAAACAGGAACATTTTTAACAGTATACTGTGCATTTTGTTAATCCAAATCTGTGAATGTTAACTTTTGACGTCATCCTGGGGTACCAGGGCCTCCTATTCGGAGACTTCTTGTGATTTTTTTTTTAGGTTTTTTTTTCAATCCAACATACCGACAACATCAGGAAACGCATTTGACGCTAAATGAAAAAAAGGGGGATGGCCTAAGTCCCAAACCAATCATCAGACATTTGCTCTCTTGGGAATAAGATTCGTTAGTCAGCTCAATGTTGACTTTGCTTTTTATAATTTGTCACAGGCAGATGCAGTTGAGACCAGGAGAGGCAAGTTTGTTTCTCACTTTCTCAGAGATTCTTCTTTATAGACTCCTTTTTTTAATTAGAGCTTACATGTTGTGCTAGGTTCTGATCGACAAGCTTGATTCTGTTGAAGACACCAAGGGAAACAATGGTGATAGAGGTATCAAAATAAAATGATTAACTGTAAATTTTACAGAATGCACAATTATGTTATATATGTGCACAGTGCTATAGATTCATGTTATGAAACAGCACAGAATCAGTATGCAAAGGTACAAAGCTTCTTTCCATAACTAATATTTCACAACTTCCTTGTCAGTTTAAACCTGAACAAATGAGTTTGAACAGTGCATCAACAGAAGGCCATGCAAATTTCATCTAACATGGTAGCTGTGCAACACTGACTTTCCTCACTCACTGAGATAAGTTTTGCCCTTTCACTCCCAAAAAAGTTTGAATCCCAAAAGACAAATGCAAAGCTCCAAGACCCGTCTGCAAAAAATGCAGGACTCCAAGGCTAAAAAGAACACACAAAACCGAGACTTTGAGACTCATCATTCAAGATTTCGAGACGGAGGCAAAATTTTCTGAGACCCATGTTTTTCCAGGTACCATTCGCCATTCCTACAAGGAAGACTCTAGGCACTTTATCCAAAATTACTCAGGGCACTAATATTAAGTTTCACCCCTTTAATTGATGGTTGGTGCAGAATAAGGCCTAAATTATTTTCTCCCCTTTACCTTGGTGTTAGATTAATAGTGACTTAGGGTCCTATTCCGTACATCCAGTCTTCTTACCAGGATTTTCTCATCCACTAGGGTCCACAGGACCCATAGAGAAGGTAAAAGGGGGTCAGGGGGAAGATAAGTGGGTCACAATTTTCGATACAGTTTACTCAGTGTTTTCACAGGTCTGAGTTAGAGTAAATACCTCACACTTCCTTTGATAATGATGGGTGTTTTGTAAAGATGCCATAACCAATAATATTAAATTTTGGCTTTTATTATAAGGAAATGTATGTGTAAATATATTATTATGTAGGTTTTGTAATAGTTTTTTTTCCTTCTTTGTGCCCTTGGGACCCCGGGGGGGGGGGGTGTTACTCGGATTTCAAGTGACAGGGATAATCAAAGGATTTTTTAGGGTTTGGAATTTTCGATTTTGGGATTTTTTTGGGTGGAAAATTATGGCAAGTATTTTTCGGGTAGCTTGATTTAAGTAGGGATTTTTTTGGGCATTCAAAACAATCTGAGAATTCATGATAGTTCCCACCGATCCAGGCCACATAGTTCCGCGAATAAATTTTTATGGGTTGGAAATTCATCATGGGATTTTTGGGGGGTTAAATTTTAGTTCAGGGATTTTTTCTAGGTTTTGTTTGAAACCCTAGGGAATTTTTTTGGGTTTTCATTTTCCCCCATATTTGATCGTCCCTGTCACTTTAAATCTGGAGTACCCCCTGGGCTTAAGACCCCTTGGGCTAATTAAAGTGCAGCATTTCCTGAAAAAGTGCAGCAATTTAGCGGTCGGGTAAGAACACTATACATCCCTTCTATTAACATTCTAATAACTTCATAGATACTGTGCTTTGTTTGTAGGAAGACTTCTTGTTACCAACCTAAGATTGATATGGCATTCACAAAGCATGCCCAGGGTTAATTTGTGTGAGTAACTTTGCTTGCCCCACTTGATATAGATATATTGATATACTTTGTTGCCGCGTAGTTCTGCAAATAAAATTCAACCAATTGCAAACTCGTGGGATTTTTGGGGGGGGTTGATATTTGGTCCAGGGATTTTTTTGGGTTTTGATTTTTGCCTCCATTCAATCATTCCCATCACTTGAAATCTGAAGTGCCCTCCCTGGGCTTTATGAGTCAAACAAGGCAAAGGGGCATTATGTGCGTGAGATGAGAGAGGAGAAAAGTAAAGCCCCTTGTCACATGCTCTGCGTGAAATGCCCCATTGGCCTCACTTGGCCCATAAAGTGCTTGTCATGCAGGCTAGCTTTATCCTTCAGTTTCTTTAATATTTATTTCAGCATTGATGTTGATAAATATAAAGATATTTTGCCTTGATTTGCTTCATCCTTATTCTTATATTTCCCCTTTTAATTGAACTGATCCAGCGCTGAGTTTTGTAATATTATTAACAATGATATCATTATTTTTTTTTTTTTCATTTTTGAAGCTGTGGGCTTTAGTTGTGTTGTCAATGTGTCTACAAGATCAGCAAATTCGGTATGTGCTGTTGGTTATTGCATCACACAGGGCAGTCAAAACTGCCAGAGACTCCATTCATAATGATATATCTTACAGTAATTCAATTCAAGAACAGATGAGATCCTTTAAGTACCTCGGTGTGATAGTAGAAGAATTGTTATCTTAGAACAGTCACATAATGCTGTTTCAGGTCAAAATTTTTTAGCCTAGGATGATAGGGCATTTGCACGAAGAGGTCATGTGACATCGTTTTGAAAATGAAAATTATATGATTTTGCCTTCGAAAAACCATTAGTGGGTCATATCTTAAACAAAATAACGGTGATTTGGTTTTTCAAACCCGCACCATTTTCTTAAAATGAGTAAGTTCGTAGCTGGTCACGTGACCAAAATGTGATTTTTAAAATTATGGATTACCGGTATCTCTTTCTGAACACAAATTTTGCACTTAAACTTCAAGGAAGATGTTGAAAAATAATGTTGTCAACATCTACAACATCTGAGCGTAAAAAACATTTAACAAGATACCATAAAAGTAGTTTTAAAAAAAATTCATGTTGGAGGGCAAGAAAATGCTCTCCAACATGGTCAAACTAAGTCTGTTTTTGTTGAAAAATCAAAGTGCCATAAAATATCTCCCTTAAATGCGTTTCCTCTCAAATTTCAGGTGTAAGATAATTTTTATGTGCTCTGTCAATTTTTGTGATCAGCGAGATTCCAAGTCATTGTTTAAAGGAAGCATGGTCACGTGACCTCTTAGTGCAAGTGGCCTATTAATGTGATTTTACCGATTTTACCTTGTTTCTGAATCCTAATTTACTGCCTTATTGTTGAATATGTTAGAGTTATATTAGGAGGCAAAAATAAGAGAATCACCTACAAGTGGCAACAAAATTGGTTGGGGCACTTTGCCTTATAAGGGCCCTTCTGACGCTTTGACGTTTTCTTAACTCAACTGACATCAAATTGAAGTATTGAAATGTACTGCAAAACTGTTTTCAGGATTGTCAAAATATCAGAGTATGATTTCATAGCTACTATAGTAAATAATTAAATCCTATGTGAAGATTTTTTGTTTGTGTTATTTGCTTCTTTCTATGACAGAATCATAACAATAAATTAGATGTATGTAATTAATCAGCAGGATCATTTTTTTAAAATTTTATTGCAGAAACTTCGTGGTCAAACAGAAGCTCTATATATTTTGACAAGATGCAATAACACAAGATTTGAATTTATATTTACAAACTTGGTGAGTGCAAAAATTATTGAAACCTATTGAAACCTATTGAAACCTATTTTTTTTTTCACACCTTCTTAGCGTACAACCAAAAAAATGTGGCAAGTAGTTTAGAGCCTGTCTGTTCAGTACTGTATTAACTTTGTTAAACTTAGTTTTCAATGGGTATATTTGAGTCCTTAGCAGATTAGCCTGTGCCACAGATGAAACTAGACTTTGGTTAAGTCTGTCTGTGAAACAGTGCCGAAGTCCTTGTTCTGGGTTCGCACTTGTACCTGTGTACCAGGATTTGAGTGCGCATCATGTTTGGCCTGCTAAGAAAGATATTGTCAATTTGCCAGTCAGGTTGAAGCGGTTAATTCGAAATGCATTTTCCAGTAAATGTGTTAAATTCGTTAAGAACCCAGAACAAGGATTTGGGCACTGCTTTGCAGACTTTACTAACCAAGGTTAAGTTATGGCTGCAACAGAGGCTATTACCAGACTAACACTTGTAAAGTTTGAGAGAAGGTTAACCCTATAAACCCTAAGATCAAAATTAAAATTCTCATTTGTCGTCCCTATTCATTTACTATAGAAGTAGTGGGGAGAATTTGCTAAAATATCGAGCACATTCATCTTGTGTGATTATGTCTGTAATTCTCATGACCACTCTGTTTTACAAAGCATTGATATCACAAGGAGAAATTTGATGCTTATCCCTCTTAGGACTTAAAGGGTTAAGTATTTACTGTCACTTAAATATCATATTTTTTATTTTCTCCTTGATTTTACCATAACAACAGGCAAGATCTGTCGTAATTTTTTCAGGTTATTTTTTTCACTGACTGTATGGCATTATTTATTTACTTTTTTGTCCATTGTAGGTATCTGGTAGTCCAAGGCTTTTTACAACAGTTATATCAGTTTTTAGGTAGGTCCTAGTTTTTATAATATATAGTCATACACTCCTACGTATGCAACCCTCTTTCATAAGAAACCACCTTAAGTATTCAAAACATGGTTACTGATTGTTCATGTTTATTGTATGTGCTTCAATACTTGGAGAATGCAAGGCACTTAATTAAGTGACAACATAGCACTGCTCTTAAACTCAGAAATTGCATGCAGATTTTATACTTCTGTTAGTCAAATAACTAACAATTATTGGACAAGGTTAAGCCAAATATTGTGATTTGTCAGTGGTGAGCAGATCAATTATTCGGCTTCAGCGAATAATTGATCTGCAAGATTATTTTGCAGTCACTGAGTTCAATAATAATTGTTTTATCATTGGATCACTGAGTTTGTTTTTTAATGAATATCCATGGAAACTGAAGTGTTCGGCCACTTTCATGCAAGGGCAATCGCAAGAAGGAGAAAAGTGTAATTTCATTTTAATACACATGAGCAGAATATTATTTGCAGCCAAACACAGTTGGACAACATTGCACATGAGCAGACTATTATTTGTGGGCAGTTATTTGCAGGTCACATGGTGGCCTCTCCGCCAATGAAAAGGAAGAAAAATTTGCATTGAATGATTAGTGAATTTGGCAGGCCTGTTCTCTTTAGAGGTCTCCTTTCAGTTGTTTGACTTGTTAGCAATCTTGTTGCATTTTCAGTTGTCACTGAAAGCATGTTCAACTGTGATAAATATTACATAAATATATAGCTCTCTGTTACTACATGCTCTGTGTTTGGTCAGTTTAGTGGCTCATACAGTATACATTGTTCTGCTGTATGGCCCACTTGAATTCTTTTTTTCCAACACAAACCATCCAGAAAAATAAAAATTATATAGTATTTTTTTGAAACAGTAAAACTTTTGACTCTCAGCCTTATTTTTTTCTTCAGAATTGTACATGTAGTCCACAGTGTATACACTTAAAAATTGGGCTGTAAAAAGAACTTTATCCTTAACTAACAATATCAACCTAAAACTCATTTTTAGGAGGTATTTACAACATGACATATACAGGATAGGTATTTTATGTGAGTCATGCCAGAGAGTACCTATGACTTTTTTTTAATATAGGGCGTATGAGTCGTCCAAGCTTTATCGTGACCTGAAGCTACGTGGAGCTCTGATCCTCAACAAGCAGCTACGTCTGTTACCCCTTGAGCAGGTTTATGATAAGGTAACAATAAACACAGCCTCAGAGTGCTAGTATCCATGTAAGGAATGGGTAGAATATGTTTGACTGAATGGAACTTTAAAGAAACTGATACCCAGTATGTTGTAGTCAGAAAGGTCTTATGGTTGATGTAATCATACTTGCAGCATTGTTGCATGTTGTTTTTATTTTAGCCTTTAGGGGCTATTGGTGGTATAAAAGAGGACGTATCTTTTTCCTCTCTACTCCCCCGTGCTCCCTGAGAGCTTGCACACAGACCATGGTCTTGTTATATTTGCTATTTAGCAATGATTAGATGCTTATGTCAATATTGATGTTAAGACCGTGTCTTCTTTTGTCTGTTCATGTGCAAGTTCAGGATATAGAAGATGTTTAATCTTACTCACATTCTTCAAATAGTAGTTGTCATCCATTGACTAGTAATTTTGCCCCTCTGGTTACGTTTTTAGGCAGAAGGTCAGCTGTTACTGTTTGAAAAATACGTGAATTTTTTGCCGTTTTCTCCAGCTGTACCAATCAACTGAGCTATCTCAACCTCGTTCCCAACGCTTCCCAGCTGCCATCCCATATTCTGGCATTATCCTGTACTACATCCTTTTACCAGATGTTGCAATTTATGCCTTTCAAATTTGTACAATGTTAACTGGTTATGAAAAATTAGCCAGAGGATTTGAGGGAAACAGAAACAGAGAATACTTTAAATGAATAATGATGGTAGTTTAACCATACTGAAATCATAATGTCGTCTTTGTAGATCAATGGTGTCTGGAATCTTTCCAGTGATCAGGTAGAGTCTTCCCTTGATTACCACCAATGTCTGTGGCTCTTATTAAACTCAATTCAAACAATGGCTTTTTAAAACAGTGATGATGACGACGACGACGACGACGACGACGACGACTTTTGCTTTAAGTGGTTCTAAATCATATAAAGCTAATTATGAAGTTCTTGAGAGTACTGTTTTGTGTCCATACCAAAGTTTATTTCAAGAATTATGTTGGCTTTTTCAACCAAAACTGGATATGAAACTCAATTATGCCCTTTATACTACTACATGAGAAATTTCTGCAATCTGATTGGCTTAGAGCAGTGATATTTCAGCTTAATTTGAAATACCTACATGTGAAAATTACAAACCTTTTTCAGGTAGTAGTATAGCGTAAACAAATAATAGCATGATTTGTACGTGATATTTAACATAAATACCACTTGCGATATTTCAAAATTGTCTCAAATCTCACTCGCCTAATGGCTCGTGAAATTACGTATAACAATTTCGAAATATCACTCGTGGTATTTATGCCAAATATAACTACAAATCATGCTATTACCTATACTAATATTATCTCCACTGGGCTGGCTTTCTTAACATAAACTTTACAGCACTTGGAATTCTTTTCTTAATTGAGTTGTTATTCTTTGCTCCTGTTTTCTCTTACTTTATTCAATTCAATTCTACTATAGTTTGGTTATTAATTTTGGTATTTGTCCTTCGCTACTTCAGGGAAATCTTGGAACATTTTATATTACAAATGTCCGCCTGGTGTGGCATGCAAACATGAATGACACATTTAATGTCAGCATTCCTTATTTACAAATGGTGAGATAAGCAATGTTATGTGCAGGCTTTAATTTTTGATCTGTTTAAATAATAATAATGAGTCTTTATTGATCATCAAAAGATAAAACTACATATCTTATGTTACAATCATACGGAAGATAAAAACTAAGATAAAAATATCTACATATATATATATATATTTTAAAAGTATGTCATTACAATAAGTGGAGCTTAAAAATCAACCTATTTACAAAGGAGTTCATAAAACGCTGTGTATTAATTTTCTGGCGTGCACAGCCTTTTGTCCTAAGATTATGTACATAAGTCTTCTGGACAGGAATGATATCTTTCAGGGGATGGCAATCCGTTGATATCAATTTCTTTAAGATGTTTCGGTCTTGTTTATGTAAAAGATTCTTGTTAAAATCTGGAAATGAAATAAAACGGCGTTTATGGCATTGGTCTAAAAAATTTTGTATAACCGTTTTTCATTAATAATAATTGTTTTCTAAATGTCTGTTTAATATTTTCATCACTGTAATGAACTAAACAAGACTAAGATGCTTTTGGCCAAAATAATCACCACAGTATACTCAGTTTGGTCAATTTCTGCTTGAGCTTTCCTAGGAGAGCCAATAATTTGCAAAAAGACTGCAGTCGAAGCTCTCGTAATAATATAAGTGACCACCTCCTGAAATTTGAATAAGTGTTTATAACTTAGTCTGAGCTGGTCGCTTACGAAAATGAGCTCTCGTAGTGACCGCATGGTAAAACAGTAGAGTGCGGTTGCTTAACAGAGCTTCAGAAACTCATAAATAATTCATAAAGAAAAAACGAAGTGTTCGTGTTGACATCAGGCTCTCTGAGTTGTTGTTGCCATGCAGGCTAAGTGGTTGCTATGAAAATGACCTTGAACTTTTACAAGTACAATTCTGCACTGTACAAGATCTTAATCAATGAACCATTAGGGCCGTGTGCAGTTTCATTAAAATATTGATTTATACGAATAAGACTCTGGGTGGGTGCTTACAAGAGCTTAAAAACAAAGAAAATGTCCAGTTAGGTTATCCCAGAAGTGGTTGTGGTTGCATGCAATGTTAAATCTCACACTTTCTAGCTAGAGTAGGAGCCTGCAACTTGATAAATTATAGTTTCACATCCGTGTTGTGGTTGACAGCTTTGAAAACAGTGTATCCATCGACCAGTATCACATGACCATATTCCAGACTCAAGTGTCGACCCGTCATTGCGCATGTTTTTTTTTAACCCTTTAAGCCCCAATATCCACATACAAATTCTCCAAACTGGTCTTTAAACATTTCCTTAAGGAATAAGTTGAGAGAATTTGGTAGATCAAAGCATTTTCTCTTAGGTGATCATTTTATTACCTCTCATAACCATTTCTCTTGGTAACATATGGATATTGTTAGGAGAAAATTGATCTTGGTCACTGTCAGGACTTAAAGGGTTCAGTTATCTGCTCACATGTTAAAACTAGTTTCCAACTGATCACAGGCTCAATTCCAATTGGATTTCTATTTTCAGTTCCTTTCCATTTAGTATTTGGTCCAAGGTGGCCTTTATTGCACAATCTGCTACTTTAAATTAATTATTACATTTCCACCTCTTTCTTTTAATAGAAATCAGTGAAAATAAGGGATTCTAAGTTTGGACTTGCATTAGTACTGGAAACATCTCAACAGGTAACAGGCTAACATTTTCTCATTACCATGAGGCAGTATTTTTTAAATTAATTAGTCACTCCCTTAAGTTTCAAGGGCAGTTAACAAAGCTTTAAAGTTAAAAGAAGGTAATTTTTATGTGGTTTTTGAAATCATTATTTTCAGTGCAGTCATAGAATTAAGAATGTGAAGAATAAACTTTGCTGTTGCAATGCTAATGATATAGAAGTGGATATTCTCATTTGACACATTTCCTAGATTATTTCAATTGCACTTTGAATTTGTAATGTTTCACTGAATGGATCCAAAACTCCTCTGAAACGTGGTCCAAATTGAGAGGCCTCATGGCAGTTGATGACCCCCACCCCTTCTTGGCAGAAATGCTTTCAATGTGCAAAAATTCCTCTTCAATCAACCCATTACAGCACAAAAGAGGTATGTAAGTAAAAAAAAGACATCTCTACTTCTTAGTTTACTATTCTGTTGCTGTGCTTTAAGTGTTGGAATATTGTCGCTACTGTTCTGTTTTAAAAAGAAATACCATTATTGTTCTTTCTTTTTTCAGAGTGGAGGATATGTTCTGGGTTTTCGCATAGACCCAGCAGAAAAATTGCAAGAAGCAGCAAAAGAAATACAAAGTTTGCAAAAGGTAGTTCCCATTAGTTTACAAAGATACAGTCGAAGCAGCCAACTCTTGTTACAACCACCTTTGTGAAACCCTGTTTGAATAGCGGCTGAAACTTTGTAATGAAAAGCTGTCACTTCAAAGTGCTTGCCACACGCAGTCGCTGCATGTGAGAAAAAACCTGTGGTGCCCAGGTTACTGACAGATATAAAGACACTCAAAACATTAAGACAGAATCCATTAGGAAATTGAGAAATCATTTCAATTTTCAGTGGACAAAAACCTTGTACCAGAGTGATTTAAACAATATCACATTCTTTTCTACATTTTTAAGAGCTATAGATGTTATTATTAGTTATCCGTAATAACACCAAAGAAAATTTCTAATGAGAGCCCGAGAAAATAAATGTCAAATCTCACAAAATGACATCTTACACATGAAATTTACAGAATTTTGCCTGTGTTTTCACAATTCTTGTGAAATTTGACATTTATTTTCTCGGGCTCCCATGAGAAATAGTCTTTAGATTACCAATCATATCTATAGCCCTTGAAAAATGTAAAAAAGAATGTGATATTGTTTGAATTATTCTGGTACAAGGTTTTTGTCCATTGAAAATAAAAATTACAAATTGTTAATGATTTTCTGAAGCTCTTGTAAGTGACCACTCTCTATTGTTTTACCATGCATATGACCACTTTTTCTAATTTCTGAGTTGATCGCTTACTAGAGCTTTGACTGTAAATCACAATTTTATCTTGAATTTTTAAAGGGCTCTGAGTAACATTAAAAGAAATCTTGCCTTTTCTTTCACTCTAATTTTTTTACTGCAGGTCTATAGTGCCAGTCCAATATTTGGAGTAGAATTTGAAACAGAGGAAAAGGTTGGTCTCAAATACTTCCTGCACCAATATTAACCCTTTAGGTTCCAAGAGTGACCAACATCAATGTTCTCCTAACAACATCAGCGGATCATCATGAGTAAAGGTTATGAGAATTACTAAGTTGATTACCAAAGGGAGAATGCTTTGATCTTAAACCAAATTCTCTCAACAATTCTTAAAAGAAATGTATGGAGATCAGTTTGGAGAATTTGTATTTGGATCTCAAGAAAACTCAAATTTGGGGCACTGAGTTAATACTAGCCAGTTCAGGGCGTTCAGATTGTGGGGACAGTACAAAGAGATCATGTGAGCAGGAAAAAACAGTAAGGGGGTGGGGTAGGGAGTGAAAGCGAATGTTGCCTCCTCTCTCCTTGACCTTCTCTTCCTCCTAATTTACTCCCACTCTCTGACTTTACGTTACACTATCTGATCGCCTGCAAGCCACTCCTTGTGTTTCACTATCCAAATCTCGCTTATAACCATTCATACGCAGCTGCAAGAATATTATTAAAACAGCTTGTTATTTTCTTGTTTCTTTTTCAGCCTCAAACAGTGGATGAAGTGACAGTTGATCCAGTGCAGGATGATATTGAGATTGTAAATGAAGGAGAAGGGACCGATGCTTTTGCAGTGAGTACTGTCTTTCTATATATTATACACATATTAATCTACAATAACACTAGATGTACCGAAAAGCTATTACAGCAATGCAATATCTAAATGTGTTGTTCAGTTCCAGCTCCAGTTCCAGTTTAATCCTTCAATCGGTAATCTTGTCACTATGGAGTTGCATTGTCGAATAATTGTTCAACCAATACAGCAAAACCAACCTTACCTTGTGTACACCTATTTGCTTTGTCAATAGAGATGTTTAATAGTTTTGCAATATTGATCCAGGGGTCCCGTTGGTAAGGACGCTTCAACTTCACAGGCAGCATCTTTTTTGTCAACATAGTAGGAAGTTTAAGCAGCGACGTTTTCAACCGGAAGTAGAATTTTGTGCACTTTGGAGTCGTGATTTTGAACCAACTGAGTAAACAGGCTCTATAAGAGTAAAGACATTTAGCAATACAAATTTGGTACCGTCAAGCTTCCGGTTGACGTGCGTCGCTGAAAAACGCCGCTGCCTAAACTCGCTAATGTTTGGACAACGACACAGATGACCAATCCGGCTGTTTATAAAAGATAGTACGTGCGCTCTGATTGGCTGAGAGGTGTGTTTGCATGAGAGTATGTAAACATGGTTTCAATGTCAAGATGTTTTGCTGTGCGCGTGGTAATCATGCCAGCACAAATTTGAAAACGTTTTTGAGTTGAAAACTCGACAAGTTTACTTTATTTACTCAAATTCTTCGCCTGATGAAACTTGGAAAACAACATCCAACAAGTCTCCAAGATAAAAACCCTTCCCCATGGAAGGATTTGTCTTGACTCCGAGACTGGCCTATAATGCCTCCCTCAGGATTTCCCGCTTTGGCAATCCTTTGTTGACCAAGCTTATTTAGTCATGATAGCTGGATATTGACCTTGTTGTTGTTGTTTATTTCTTTTTTGCTTTTTTGTTGACCTGAACTTTATATCGGTTCATAAAAAGCCAACAAAGAACTTGACCAAAAGCCAGCCATCTTGACCTCGCGCTTGGTCAATAACGCATTTATACTCAACACGGGTTATTTTATGGTAAAATCACTTAAATTATATGTCACTGTAGCTCTCTTCTCCATAGAACCGCCCGCTGGGTATTCCCATCGTCCCGCGCGCGCTTTCTTTTTCCCCTCTTCCTAGTCTCCCAAAGACACAAAGAGGCCTCACCTTTCTTCCTGTCTACTAAGCTGCTTATTATATCTCTCTCACAGGCATATTTTGCTGATGGAGATAAAGTAAGTACTACTTAAGCTAACTGTATCGGTCCAATATTTATTTTAAATTGTCTGGAGCAGGTGGGTTTCTCTCTGAATTTACTAGTGGATTTATTGTCAACTTCTGCTCCTTGCATAGCGTGACTACAAAGAATTTTTTATGTGGGGAATGCAGTATAGGGAATCAATAGAGAGATTTAGAATCACGTTGACATAAACCTCAGGTTCAAGTTGACAATTTCTCAAATAAGCCCAAATCAGTAAGCAGATAAAAACTGTGCAAAAGAATTCTTATGGATAAGCCTGTTATGAAACTACTTATTTTTGTGCAGATATAATTAACAGTAAATGACCAGTAAGAAGAAAATTTAGTCACGTGGTAGATAGATAGATAGAAACTTTATTTATGTGTCAAGAAAGAAAAACTAGCCGAGGGGCAGGCCCTCTACTAATAGGGGACACCTACAGTTAAAATATAATAGATACAATAATTAAGTAGATAAAGAAATGCATACAATATGTTACAAATTGTTAGCTAAAATACTAAAGCTGAGTACTAAAATGCTAAAATTGTTTCCGATGAGACATCAAGTATCACACAGAAGACATCCTTTGCATCCATCATCAATAAGAGATGTCAGATCCTTATTACGCATTCGGTTTCTAAAATCACTTAATGATTTACACGTTTTATCATTTTTGTACAATTTCACGTTTGTCGTTTTCCGGCGAGCAACAGATGTACACTTCATAATGATTTGTCAAGAGTGAATTAGATGGTTCAGCTTAATTGTTTTGTTTTCATTACAGTCCAGTGATCGTGAACCAGTTTACTCTGACCAGCTTGGACTAGCAGTGGAAAAGCTAAAGGAAGGATTCACCTTGCAGGGACTGTGGGAAGTCGTTCCCAGTCAGTAGCCCTCTGAGTGGATAAAAAAAGAATATTAAGCCTACCATTCTTAATACCTAACAGTGAGCAAACTAGAAACTGGATTGATTTCCAGATATCAGTGCTTATAATATTTAAGAAAATATGATATCTTGTGAAAGTGAATGTATCTTATTTATTATTCTCAAATAGGGATCTGCCGTTCGTTTGAGAGCGCTTGGCGCTCTAGCAAATTATGTTAGCTTGCGTGGCACGCAGAAAAAAAGGAAGGGAACTTTCGGCGCCCCTTTCGTTGAATTCGCTTCACGCCCTAACAAATTATGTTAGCTTGCCTGGCACGCGAAAACAGGGGGAGAGTCAGCGGAAGGGAAAAAGCGAAATCTTTTCCCTTGGAAATTGAGACCTTCCTACCTTTTCCCTTCCTCTCTTACATACCTCTTTCAACGCCTGCAAAGCAGGTGTAGTTAAGTTGGCAAATGATGCTGGGATTCTGCAATTAAACTTAACAGTGAAAATGAAATACTTTGCTGACTTTGCCCAAGGATCGGCCAGGGTCTTAAGGGCATACGTTTACTCCGCATTTCATGAGCTAAGCTGTTCAAGCTATCAAAATCTGGGCAAAATTGATCCCTGAACACAACTTGCATTCTTTTACAAGTTAAACTGTAACATTAGTGCACCCAACGTGAATGTAACAAGCAACTAATGTGTAGCTGCAATGATTCGCCGCCCCCGATTGATATTAAACCGACACTGAGAATTTATCTTGACTGAACACAATCTTACTTCTCTTGAATTAAATTGTTCACAGTCCTCTATTTTTTCGTAGGTTCGTCCGAATCGAGCGCTCTCCGGTGGCCGTGCGAGTCGCCATCTCTCCTTCATATGTACCGAGTGAGCGGGCGTAATGGCTTTACGGAAAAATAGGGGACTGTGAAAAGTCTACTCATGATTAATCTGATCGAATTTGCATTCATTGTATTCTTACTGCTACCCTGTCACAGATTCGCGAGGTGTTGCGATAAACATATTTCTAGTTATCATTTAATCAGAACGAATGATGATTTTTTCGCATTATATTGGTGTCTTTGCGTTAGTATTTACTTTACCCTTCTTATCCTATTCCACAAACCGACGGTAAGAAACGTTAATGTGGGTGAAAGACGAGAGTTTGAGCCCACTTGCAATGCTGCAAGTGCACAAGCACAAAGGCGTTGATACTGACAGCGTTGTAACAGGGACACCCAACGACAATTTTTGGTAAAGTATCTGTTCGGAAGACGATTTGAGAGCTAGAATTTTCGGAACATTTGTTGTAAAATTTCTTGCTTGCCTGCCTCTCCTAGGATTTTCGAACATCTAAAAAATGGTAAAATTGCCCATTTTCAAAGGATTTTTACCCTAAAAAGGTCACCTAAAATTTTCGGGAGCCTTTTTTCTGGCTGAAATTTTCGAACAGGTAAGTTTTGATCCCTATAATTTTCGGATCACTAGACTTTCAGCTAGGAAATCCGAACAGATAAAAAATTTATAGGGGATAAAAATATGCCCATATCCACCGTTTACATACTAAAACACTTATAACAATGCTATGTTTAGGAGGTTTTGAACTATATTCTCGTTGGGTGCCCCTGTTGTAACAGAGTTTTGCCTGTCTGAAGGTTAGACGTCTCTCCCTTATCTTTGGTAATCTTCTTTAGGGCGTCATTGTTTACCCTTTTTTCGCCGTTATCACTGTACTTTACCGACAGCAGTAGAGATTGATACTGTAATTTCCTTCGTATTTATTTACTGAAAATGCGAGAAAGCCAAAAAAGGCATTTCCAAGATCCTAATTTATAAACTTTTCTAGGGGAGCCCGGGGGCGAGAGTATGCCTCCAGACTCCCCAAGTATCTTTTTCCCCGTGCGTACACTTTCTCACGCTTGGCGCGTAGTTTTCATGTACGCACATACGCCCTTGCGCGACAAGGACAGTCCAACCTCTTTGTACCGACACCTCTCTATTACGGACAGTTTCCAATATCCCGGCAAAACTCTTATATATTTTCTTTAGAAAAAAAAAACCCTCTATAATACGGACTCTCTTTAATACGGACAATGGACACTAAATCTTAGCCGTAGAGAGTAAATTCATATAAACTTAACCTCTTTATTACGGACACTGCGGTGATCAGGTCAATTCCGATCAGGGGACTCTGCACAGGGTGAGTCCCGTCTATTCTGGCTAATGAGCTATGCAAGGTGATATAAAGCCCAGTCGCGGCATACTAACAACGATTTGCGAAAGGCGTACAGAGGAACATAACCGACTTTTTGAAGGCTTCAATAACTACAGATAGCATAAAGATCTTTTCTATCACATTGTGTACTCTAGTTGCTGTTTACTGCACTTGCAAAATAGTGAAGGACGCTTTCAAAATTGTACTTTACGTTACTGGCATGCAGCCTTGCGCTGTAGCTCGGCAGGACTTTTCCGCGGGTGGCGGGTGCCGGTTAGACGGGTGCCGGGTAGCGGGTGGCAGGTGGTGGGTCAGGCCGTAAAAAATAAAAATAATAAAAATAAAAAGGGGAAACCAAAAAAAGAAAAACGATAATAAAAATTACAAAAAGCGATATTTTAGAAATATTCTTCTACACGATATCGCACGCACGAGATGCTTGAGGAACTCATAAAAATTAATAATAATAGTAATATTTATCCTGCGACCAGACAAGTAAGATCGCATTCGCTTCTCGACATGTTTGAACAGTGTCTCAGCTAGATTTTTGACAAGTGCGTTTGTTCTTTTGTTATAAGTTGGGATAAACATTGCATTGCCCGTGGGATAAATCTTTGCCAATTTGGTTCCCGACTTGTAGTTTAAAATAAACAAAATGTCTATTTCGAGAATTTTCGTAAGACTAAAGCAACAAAGCTGTCAATGTTAATGCGTACCAGAGAAGGAGCAACAACGTTTTTGACACAGCATGGACCGTTTTCGCCGCATGTGAAAACAATGCCAGTGAATAATGAGGACGCTCACTTGTAAACACAAAATCTGGGGGGAAAATTGGCCATATTTGAGGCCCTATTTAAAAGCCTTCCCTGTTTTCAGTGTTCTTAAAACTTGCAGGGAATATTTCTTGTCGATTGATCTCGGAATTGTGGAATTTATAAAAAAATTTATCGAGCGGTTTTTGGAAAAATGCGAAATTTTTAGGCATGGACCAAATTACCTCCAAAAACTTTATCAAAAGCATCTGAATGCAAGTTGATAAAATCCTTCTTACTCTCGATTGCCCAGAGCAATTCCCCTCCTTTTTTGTATGCAGTTTTCAATGGAATCAATCCACTATGAGATGAAGCCGCGTTCCCAAAGCTTATCGTTTTCTTAAAATATTAGCTAATTGTGTGGATAGCATGCTATTTCACTGTTTTGATGATTCTTAAAACTGCATTTCAAAATATTTCGAAAACGTTCTCATAGAATTTCTTCAAACTTTGCCATAATGGAGGCAATTATGGCAGGTACATACTCCCTTAAGCGATTTCTTCAAAAAACTCCTGGTACAGAGAAACATAAAGATAAATGAAAAACGCAATGGCGTCATTACGTTGCCATGGCGACTCCGATTGCAATAAAACCCAGATCATAAGAAATTTTCATCTTTATGTAATACAGTTGTGGTAACCTTTTTTCCATATCTTTACTCATGCCGACGTAGTTAAGGCTCAAACTTGGGAGGTATCCCCCTAAAAAAATCCAGTCGAGCCACCTTAAAGACGAGTGTGAGCCTGGTTTTAGCTACTGAACAGTTAAAACTGTAAGTGGAGTCATAAAAGTGACGTCATCATAGTGACCTCTTTTATACGGACACCTCTCCAAAACGGACACTTTGCTCTGTCCCTTCGGTGTCAGTATTACGGAGGTTGGACTGTACAGCTGAAATAAGGAAAAATGATTTGTCTTTTATTTCCTGAGAAAGCCTTTTTTAGTCATTAAATCGGGATGACTGATACATTTTTCGCACTTTTTAGGTGTCTTTGTGTTAGGGACCGTTCATTTTTAATGGGGAAGGGGGAGGGGCCTGGTGGGATTCGACCGGATGCTCCTATAGTATATAATGACCCCCCTCTTCATAAGACATTTTGGAGGCGGCTCCCTTTGTATCCCAAATTAATTGAGATGACTTCCCCCCCCCCTAAAAAAAGAAGGAAGAGAAAGAAAGAGAGAGAAAGGACAAAGAAAAAAATGAAAAATGACTAACTGAGTTTGTTATTTTTTCCTACTGAAACGTTCGATTTTCGGGGGGAGCATGCTCCCAGACCCCGTTGCTCACGCCAAGCCTTTGAAAATTGTAAAAATTGTATCAAACTATGAACTGTAAAATGAAAATTTCAGTAGTTTTGTAACCTGTTCCAGGCGTTCAGATATTAGAGCGTTTTGTCGTCTCAAGCCGACCATCCTTCACTGATTAATCTACGTCTTCCCTTTCAAGGTCGGTCCCTATCCAAGTGCTTGTGTTTCTTTAACCCTCCGACAGTACCAGCGAGGGTCTCAGTTACGGTTAAAAATGACCTCGTCCCAGAGCTGATAATGCCTGGTCTTATTGGCGTGTTCAGAAACGGCTTGAAGTTTAAGTTCGTGAAAGCGGTATGTCCCTATCGTGCTCATTTTCCCATTTCTGGGAAGACCTTTCCAATTTCAACACCAGAAATATTTATGGAATGTTATTGTGTTGCGAGAAATTACCCAATAAGGCGCGAGATAACTAAACCGCAAACACCAATGGTAATTAGTTTGTGGTTTTGAGGATTCCCTTCGTATCCTAAACTTTATTGTGATTGGCCGCGCACGGTTAGCTCAGTCGGTAGAGCGCATAACTGCGAAGCGGGAGGTCGCGGGTTCGATTCCCGGGGGCGGACAAGTACTCAAGGTCTTAAAATAACTGAGAAATGAAGGTACTCTTTTAACCTGTAAGCAGCTAGACCTTCGTGTGCCTCCGATGACCACGTAAAATGGCGGACCCGTGTAAAAATAGTGTCC